CTTGTTATAGCAACACTCCAAGCAACCATCTACACACACCTTGTTATAGCACAACACAACCCAAGCTGTTATAGCAAACCACCTACACACACCTTGTTATAGCAACACGCCAAGCAACCACAACCACTACACACCTTGTTATAGCAACACGCCAAGCAACCACCTACACACACCTTGTTTATAGCAACATTCCAAGCAACCACCTACACACACCTTGTTATAGCAACACTCCAAGCAACCATCTTCACACACCTTGTTTATAGCAACACTCCAAGCAACCATCTACACACACCTTGTTATAGCAACACTCCAAGCAACCACCTATACACACCTCGTTATAGCAACATTCCAAGCAACCACCTATACACACCTTGTTATAGCAACACTCCAAGCAACCACCTATACACACACCTTGTTATAGCAACATTCCAAGCAACCACCTTCACACACCTTGTTATAGCAACATTCCAAGCAACCACCTTCACACACCTTGTTATAGCAACATTCCAAGCAACCATCTACACACACCTTGTTATAGCAACACTCCAAGCAACCATCTACACACACCTTGTTATAGCAACACACTCCAAGCAACCATCTACACACACCTTGTTATAGCAACACGCCAAGCAACCACCTACACACACCTTGTTATAGCAACACGCCAAGCAACCACCTACACACACCTTGTTATAGCAACACGCCAAGCAACCACCTACACACACCTTGTTATAGCAACATTCCAAGCAACCACCTACACACACCTTGTTATAGCAACACTCCAAGCAACCATCTTCACACACCTTGTTATAGCAACACTCCAAGCAACCATCTTCACACACCTTGTTATAGCAACACTCCAAGCAACCACCTACACACACCTTGTTATAGCAACACGCCAAGCAACCACCTACACACACCTTGTTATAGCAACACGCCAAGCAACCACCTACACACACCTTGTTATAGCAACACGCCAAGCAACCACCTACACACACCTTGTTATAGCAACATTCCAAGCAACCACCTACACACACCTTGTTATAGCAACACTCCAAGCAACCATCTTCACACACCTTGTTATAGCAACACTCCAAGCAACCATCTACACACACCTTGTTATAGCAACACTCCAAGCAACCACCTATACACACCTTGTTATAGCAACATTCCAAGCAACCACCTATACACCTTGTTATAGCAACACTCCAAGCAACCACCTATACACACCTTGTTATAGCAACATTCCAAGCAACCACCTTCACACACCTTGTTATAGCAACATTCCAAGCAACCACCTTCACACACCTTGTTATAGCAACATTCCAAGCAACCATCTACACACACCTTGTTATAGCAACACTCCAAGCAACCATCTACACACACCTTGTTATAGCAACACTCCAAGCAACCATCTACACACACCTTGTTATAGCAACACGCCAAGCAACCACCTACACACACCTTGTTATAGCAACACGCCAAGCAACCACCTACACACACCTTGTTATAGCAACACGCCAAGCAACCACCTACACACACCTTGTTATAGCAACATTCCAAGCAACCACCTACACACACCTTGTTATAGCAACACTCCAAGCAACCATCTTCACACACCTTGTTATAGCAACACTCCAAGCAACCATCTTCACACACCTTGTTATAGCAACACTCCAAGCAACCACCTACACACACCTTGTTATAGCAACACTCCAAGCAACCACCTACACACACCTTGTTATAGCAACACTCCAAGCAACCACCTACACACACCTTGTTATAGCAACATTCCAAGCAACCACCTACACACACCTTGTTATAGCAACACTTCAAGCAACCATCTACATACACCTTGTTATAGCAACACTCCAAGCAACCACCTACACACACCTTGTTATAGCAACACTCCAAGCAACCACCTACACACACCTTGTTATAGCAACATTCCAAGCAACCATCTACACACACCTTGTTATAGCAACACTCCAAGCAACCATCTACACACACCTTGTTATAGCAACATTCCAAGCAACCACCTACACACACCTTGTTATAGCAACATTCCAAGCAACCACTTACACACACCTTGTTATAGCAACACTCCAAGCAACCACTTACATTTACATCTTGTATGTGCACACTGAAATAAAATTGTCGACATTTCTACCATATAATAATCACAAGTTCAAGTAACATTTCAGAGGCATACATAGAGACACAGATGAAGTGCTATAGTAGTATAGCAGGCGCATTTTATTAGGTTTCCCTGGCTGTTCTTGGCAGATATAGCACACACAAAACGTGCCTACTATATTACTAGTTACTGATACCCTCATAAAAGCCAGAAACAATTTTCTGTACATGTGCAAGGAACAAATACAATATACTCTGCAATATCCGGCCTAATGTGGCAACAGGCTAGGCCAGACACAATAGAAGAGAAAACAACAACAAAAAACCAGCCAAACATGCAAGATTCTATAAATACATCAGTTTTGACCCCACCCATGTCATTAAAAACAAATTTGTTTTAAAAACAAAAATCAACAGTTATTCATATTTTTGACCTCTTATTACAGGCAAGTACTTTATAAACATTTCTTTTGTATAGTACTGTACATACAGACATTTATTATGCAAAAAAGATGTCCAAAACTAAAAATATTATTATTTTAAGATAAATTTGTCTCAATGAACAGCAGAAAAAAAATAAACAAAGTATAACATACAGTATGAATACACAAACATAAAATGTTTTTTTTTAAAACAGAAAAGTAATTATGCAATGGTAAAAAGTCAGCCTAAGATGAGAGAGTCAACTGCTAAAAAAAAAAAACACCAGACAGGATAACACAGAGTCCGGATAATTGATGTTCTGCTGTACAGTATTTGGAAACAAAATAGATACCCCACAGCACGACATGTGGAAGGAAGCTCAGGTGAAACATAACATATAATTATGTTATATATATGAGAAGAGGGAAAATAGAACATGTTGTGACCACTGGAAAGATATGTGGAAGGAGAGATAGAGGAAGACAACGAGAGAAGATGCTTGACAGTCTTGTTGCATGGCGTGGAGGTGTGTTGGCACACGAATTGATACATGCTGCCGGAGATCGCAGATTAAGGAGAGGCATGATCGCCCACGCCAGTCGGCAAGGCACCTGATGATGATGATGATGTTATTTATTAACAAGCAGTTAAGGGAAAAAAAAATAGATACCCCATAGCGTGACAAGTGGAAGCTCAGGTAAAACATAATATTTAACTATGTTATGAACAAGCAGTTAAGGGAATAAAATAGATACCCCATAGCGTGACAAGTGGAAGCTCAGGTAAAACATAATATTTAACTATGTTATGAACAAGCAGTTAAGGGAATAAAATAGATACCCCATAGCGTGACAAGTGGAAGCTCAGGTAAAACATAATATTTAACTATGTTATGAACAAGCAGTTAAGGGAATAAAAATAGATACCCCATAGCGTGACAGGTGGAAGCTCAGGTTAAAACATAATATTTAAACTATGTTATGAACAAGCAGTTAAGGGAATAAAATAGATACCCCATAGCGTGACAAGTGGAAGCTCAGGTAAAACATAATATTTAACTATGTTATGAACAAGCAGTTAAGGGAATAAAATAGATACCCCATAGCGTGACAAGTGGAAGCTCAGGTAAAACATAATATTTAACTATGTTATGAACAAGCAGTTAAGGGAATAAAATAGATACCCCACAGCGTGACAAGTGGAAGCTCAGGTAAAACATAATATACAACTATGTTATGAACAAGCAGTTAAGGGAAAAAAAAAATAGATACCCCATAGCGTGACAAGTGGAAGCTCAGGTAAAACATAATATTTAACTATGTTATGAACAAGCAGTTAAGGGAATAAAATAGATACCCCATAGCGTGACAGGTGGAAGCTCAGGTAAAACATAATATTTAACTATGTTATGAACAAGCAGTGAAGGGAATAAAATAGATACCCCATAGCGTGACAAGTGGAAGCTCAGGTAAAACATAATATTTAACTATGTTATGAACAAGCAGTTAAGGGAATAAAATAGATAACCCATAGCGTGACAAGTGGAAGCTCAGGTAAAACATAATATTTAACTATGTTATGAACAAGCAGTTAAGGGAATAAAATAGATACCCCACAGCGTGACAAGTGGAAGCTCAGGTAAAACATAATATACAACTATGTTATGAACAAGCAGTTAAGGGAAAAAAAAAATAGATACCCCATAGCGTGACAAGTGGAAGCTCAGGTAAAACATAATATTTAACTATGTTACGAACAAGCAGTTAAGGGAATAAAATAGATACCCCATAGCGTGACAAGTGGAAGCTCAGGTAAAACATAATATTTAACTATGTTATGAACAAGCAGTTAAGGGAATAAAATAGATACCCCACAGCGTGACAAGTGGAAGCTCAGGTAAAACATAATATACAACTATGTTATGAACAAGCAGTTAAGGGGGGAAAAAAATAGATACCCCATAGCGTGACAAGTGGAAGCTCAGGTAAAACATAATATTTAACTATGTTATGAACAAGCAGTTAAGGGAATAAAATAGATACCCCACAGCGTGACAAGTGGAAGCTCAGGTAAAACATAATATACAACTATGTTATGAACAAGCAGTTAAGGGGAAAAAAAAATAAATACCCCATAGCGTGACAGGTGGAAGCTCAGGTAAAACATAATATTTAACTATGTTATGAACAAGCAGTTAAGGGAATAAAATAGATACCCCACAGCATGACAGGTGGAAGCTCAGGTAAAACATAATATACAACTACGTTATGAACAAGCAGTTAAGGGGAAAAAAAAATAAATACCCCATAGCGTGACAGGTGGAAGCTCAGGTAAAACATAATATTTAACTATGTTATGAACATGCAGTTGGGAATAAACCGTTACCTTCAAAATGTGATACTTAAGTGTAGATATTACAGGTCAAACACAACAGTTGACATCTATGAGCCACACATCAGACACTCGTCTTTGTTTTGTAGGGAGCAGGCTAAAGCTGCCATATTCTGATTTCTTTGACTGCGCTCTTTTTCATTTTCTTTGTTCTCATTGCTTCCCTGGCGCCTGTTTTCAGAACTGGGTTTCCTTGGGTGTGTCTTTCTGGGACTAGCGCCAGTTTTACCATCCACTTTTGTGCTGGCCAAACGGGTTTTATCTACCGTAAACTGGATAGCTTGAGCTGCTGGTTTTGTGCGTAGGTAGTACATACCAGTCTTTAATCCCTGCAGAATCAGTTGAACAAAAATGAAATGATGAAATGATAATGACAACAACAAAAACCCACAAAACCAAATTTATAGTTAAAAGTTAGTTTCATTATCGCAAATTGAACTTTCCAGTCCATAAGTGCTCAGATCCTGGCTTCAGTATCTCCCTCAGCATGTAGTGGCTTATGACACCCATAGTTAAAAATAAGTAACTTTATGACCATAGGAAGCTATGAGTCTTTGAGTGCCACATAAGCTGTATGGTGTGTGCTGTGGAGTGTCAGACCTAAGTGCCACATAAACTGTATGGTGGTGGAGTGTCAGACCTAAGTGCCACATAAACTGTATGGTGTGTGCTGTGGAGTTTTAGACCATGGTAAATCGGTACCTTCAGGTGGATAACCCTGAGGCTAATTCACACTGGACCTTGATTATAAGTGTCTGGGAAAACTGTCTTTGGTTCCAAGGTGAGATATTGACTAAAATCAGACCTGTATTTTGTAAAATATAATACTCTTGATGTCTGCCATCAGCGCCTAGGGGTCTTCCTCTGACTTGTAGACCTTTCTAAGTGTATATCTGACTGGCGGTTTTTGTCATTTCAGATTCTCTCAAGCACTTATATTACATGTGACAAATGTTTGCTACGACTAGAACTATGTATCAGTGCAACATATGTTTGGTCTGGGTATGCAAAAGAAATCTGGCCAAATATTTTAAATACAGCACAGTATGTGATATATCTTAGCAAGTAACTCGCTGGTTCCTTTTTCACTGTAATTATGGTGCCAAACTGGGTTCCTTCTTTGAAACCATTTGGGACTGAAAAAGTTAACAAGAGATTTGAGTCTCTGGAGAATCTAAGATGAGTGAGGCCGATTTTGGCCATGGACCATTGGGCCCCAAATCTGTTGCAAGACAGTATGGTTGCACAGGATATGTGTTTACTCCTACTGTCCTTGGATACTGACACAAGTCAGGTGTGTGTATCAAGCTCCCACTGTGGAAGCACCTGCTCACCAGTATAACACATCTTCCCTCCATAGAGTTCTAGATGATTCCAGTCCTGTGATTCCTTCTGTAGCCCCTTGTACATGTTAAGAATACTTCAGCAATTAGAATTTTTTTTTAAAGGCAGGTTGAACAAGCAAATTTTCAGGATTTGAAAAGATACCCTTATAGGACCACCAAGCGCAATCCATACTTCTCATTTCACTTACCAGGACTATAGTAGAAGCACACTCAATACTCATGATGGCAACAACAGTCCTGAAATGTCATGCTCTAATTGTGGAAGATCTTTTTTTTTTAATGCGGGCAAGTCTTGCTAGTCACACTTGCCATGGCCTGTGATTCCAATGTCACCTTCTAACACAATATAACACCCAGCAAGCCTATCAGTGTGCTGTTTTCTCTTACACCTACAAATCCTGGCACAAAAATGAAACATATTCAAAATATTTGGTATATAGGTGAAAGTTTTAAAATAAAATTAGAACAACATACAAGTTTCCAGGCATAGAAGTGCATGCTAGATAGTTTTCCATAGTTTGGCTCTGCAATGTGGATGTTTAAGGACTGGCTTTGGTCAATGAATGCCCCACGATCGGCAGCCATTTCCAGGATGACCTGAAACAAACAGTTTATGCTTAATGTCAGTCACATGAAGTTTTTTTAAATTAATATCCTACCCCAGATGATGTCACAGGAGAGTCAGACATTTTAGAGGGTGGTAAGACTGGGTTTCCTGGCTTTCTGATGCTTTTAACGACCCCAAAACATCTAGAACTGGCCCTAACCCCAACCCACCTACGTCCCACGAGAGAGTGCAGCCTAGGTCCAACGACTGCATGCAACCTATCTACCACCCCTTGAAATATTAGACTGATCCGTGACCTGTGGATATTTCCTGTTTGGGATAGGATATTAAAAAAGCACCAAACAATCTAAACCAAATCAACAGACTTAACAAGACTGCATGCAGCACTTTCAAAGGTAAACTACAGTTTTACTTGTAATTCTAAGAATAAATCTGCAGACTGAAAGTTCACATATAAGTGGTATTAATTGTTCAGGCAGCAACGGTTGAGAGTCAGAGAACCAAGGGAAAATGAGTTGAGATTTCATCAGTACAACACAGGCAAACACACTGATGCCTGTTGAGAATGTGCACAAAACAGTTGGCGTCATCATCCGCTCAGTTATCAGACACTTTGCTGCCAGCCCAAAGATATTTGGTTCAAATCCACAGCCAGGCATCAGGCTCCAAGGCTGAGCAGCTTAAAAGGAAAGACAGAAAATATCCTGGGAAATAAAGGCCACCAGCATGATGCTGGTCGCATCATCCACCAGAGTTTAGAATCTCTGTTGTCTGTTATTTTTTTAGTCACAATCTATTTTGTCTATGGTACTCTGTTGATAAAGACTTTGGCTGAAATGTTCCATTGTATTTTTGCGGGTCTGTTTAATTACGATTAGTGAGCTTTCTAGTAAAATGTTATGCTATATAGCATTTCTTACAAAAATACAGATTTAGTATGTTTTACTAATGTTAAACTGAATATTGGATTTGTTCCTGTTGCACTGACATCTGAAATGTGTTGAACCTTCAGCGGTATTTTCAAAAGATACCTTTCTCTTCATTTGGCTTAAAAAGTTTCGTGTCTTTCTTCTAGTTGCACAATATTTAACTTTGTTTTTCTGGAAGATAATAAAAAAACCACATTTATTCTGTTGTCTTGGGTATTTCCATAAAAAATATTTGTTGAAAAGTTTGTATAACTTTATCCAACAGCTGCTGCAGAACAGTTGTTTTTTAAAGCTGAAAGGACTGTTTCATCTGTCAAACTGGGCACAGTTGTAACTCTTATCCAACCTTTTCCAGGTGAGATTACACAGAAAATACCATATGTACAAAAACATGACTTTAGACAGGATGTGCCCCCAGATATCAATGTCTGATTTTAGATAAGAGAGAACCAACCCTCTGCTTGATTTCCCAAACTGTCTTGTACAGAGCTTTCAGGTCATCAGGGATGGAGGCAATTCCCTGGATAGATCCACCGGCTGCTATCATTTCAGTTTTCAGATCCTCATTCCACAAACCAAGCTCCGTCAGATCTGCTCAACAGAAAATGGTGCATTAAATGACACATCTGTGTTACACATGATTACATATCATATTTTAGGCTGAATTGTATTTAGGTAGCTTTCTGCATTTACAACAACAACAAAATTGTGGCTTGCTCTTCTGTGAAGAGAGACTGAGCCACATGTGATAAAACCCGGCGCAATGAAGTCAACGCTCTCAACCTTTTTTTAACAAAAATCTAAAAAGCAAATTGAGCTTCCACAGCACAAACAAATTTGTGGAAGTCAAAGGACATTAAACTGAATACTAGACTTAGAATATCCAACTCTGCAGCCAAACCCATTAGAATGTTGGGATCAGAAGCAAGAAAACGATGACTAACACACTACATACATCACTGACTGTGCTTCTGCTGAATAGAAGTACTACAATGGTAGCACAGTCATCAATGTAGCTTCTACGGAGAGAACTAAACCCTCTGCCAGCGAATCAAATGAGGGAAGAATCTGGTGCTGTACAAGATAGATTGGGCGTTGCCATGGTGAAGCCTAAACGCTGGCCTGCAGAACTGCATGTTGTGGGTTGAGGTCCTGATGGAGCTGGACTTTTTTCAAAAACGACTTTGGTTCCAAAGTCGACTCAGCCTTGAGTAGATACCAGGTGAAGTCCTGGGAAGTAAAGGTGATCAGCTGACCTGACCACATCACCCAGAAATTGCCGATTGGTCAATACAAAAATAGATCTAGCCCTATATTTGCAAAACACCTGAAGGCAAAGAAAAGGATCTTTGCTTTTCATGGAAGCAGAGGCCAGAAATGGAGGGCTTGACATAAGTTGGTTGTGGGTGTGTGCAGACACAGGAGATGGAGGGCTTGACATAAGTTGGTTGTGGGTGTGTGCAGACGCCAGAAATGGAGGGCTTGACATAAGTTGGTTGTGGGTGTGTGCAGACACCAGAAATGAAGGGCTTGAAATAAGTTGGTTGTGGGTGTGTGCAGACACAGGAGAAGAAGGGCTTGAAATAAGTTGGTTGTGGGTGTGTGCAGACACAGGAGAAGGAGGGCTTGACATAAGTTGGTTGAGGGTGTGTGCAGACACAAGAGATGGAGGGCTGTCATAGGTTGGTTGTGGGTGTGTGCAGACACAGGAGATGGAGGGCTTGATATAAGTTTGCTGTGGGTGTGTGCAGACACAGGAGAAGGAGGGCTTGACATAAGTTTGCTGTGGGTGTGTGCAGACATAGGAGATAGAGGGCTTGACATAAGTTGGTTGTGGGTGTGTGCAGACGCCAAAAATGGAGGGCTTGGCATAAGTTGGTTGTGGGTGTGTGCAGACACAGGAGATGGAGGGCTTGACATAAGTTGGTTGTGGGTGTGTGCAGACGCCAGAAATGGAGGGCTTGACATAAGTTGGTTGAGGGTGTGTGCAGACACAAGAGATGGAGGGCTTGACATAAGTTGGTTGTGGGTGTGTGCAGACACAGGAGATGGAGGGCTTGGCATAAGTTGGTTGTGGGTGTGTGCAGACGCCAGAAATGGAGGGCTTGACATAAGTTGGTTGTGGGTGTGTGCAGACACAGGAGATGGAGGGCTTGACATAAGTTGGTTGAGGGTGAGTGCAGACACCAGAAATGGAGGGCTTGACATAAGTTGGTTGTGGGTGTGTGCAGACACAGGAGATGGAGGGCTTGAAATAAGTTGATTGTGGGTGTGTGCAGACACAAGAGATGGAAGGCTTGACTTAAGTTGGTTGTGGGTGTGTGCTCCAATTAGGGATAAAAGTAAAAATTAACATAGTGCTGCTATCCAAAACTTGACCAATGATGCGAGTTGAAGAAGAGAAACAATTAGTTGTACATTTGTAATGATGAATGTACAGAATGGTAAAATAGCACCGCATTATACATATAGGAGAGCTACTGCCTGTATCTCTATTGTTTCAGAATAATTGAAAAAGGTTATCTTTTAGAAAGGTTTAAAGCTGCTGACATGAAACAATTTAAACCCCCACCTTTCAGTAGGTGTTGATTGACGATCTGGAACTCGCCAGACAAGACCCGTCTAGAATAAATATTGCTGGTATATGCCTCGATGGATTCGTTGTTTCCCAGGATCTGGGCAGTCGAAGCTGTAGGCATGGGGGCCAGCAGAAGGCTGTTCCTCACTCCAAACTTGGCAATACGTTCTCTTAAGCTGACCCAGTCAAGGCTGGTTGTCTGTAGTGTCATTAGACAAACAAAACAAAGAACTGCTGATTCAGCACGTTCATGAACTTTACGGATTCTATTCAAGGTAACACTATGCAATTGTGGGTAGGTTATATTTTAGAACCAACTGGCACTGCGATATACTTTACAGCTAGACTGATATCTGGCACTGCGATATACTTTACAGCTAGACTGATTTCTGCACCTTTTGGTCCAAAACATTGATTTTAGAAAACTCCTATTTACCTGTTATTTGTGACATGCTTGTTAGGGATCTATCACCCCAAATGGGGTTCTAGAACCCACACTGGGTTCCAGGACTTGTGGTTTACATTTGAAACTTCAATATGCCCAGTTTGTACACAGAACTTTCTGCTTTTCTCCACTATAAATGTTCATTCTTACTGCTTTTCTTTCCAAGGTGCATTCTCAATTAATCTGTTTGTTTGGCGTCAATGGTTGTGTTAGCATGTTTTCTCAATTGATCTGTTTTGTTTGGCTTCAATGGTTGTGGTGTTCTCAATTGATCTGTTTTGTTTATCTTCAATGGTTGTGTTAGCAGGTGTTCTCAATTGATCTTTTTTTGTGTGGCTTCAATGGTTGTGTTAGCATGTGTTCTCAATTGATCCGTTTTGTTTGGCTTCAATGGTTGTGTTAGCATGTGTTCTCAATTCCAACTGACTGAATCTGACACAAAATATGACTCATGAAAGGGTAAGGTGAGACAAGTAGACAAAGCAGATCATTTCCACACGTCTTTATCAACAAATAACAATTTGCTTCTGCGGTGTAGTTTTGAGGTTTAATTTGTTATTTAAGACTGGTGCAAACATGTGGTAGGAAGGAATATCTGTTCCAGAAACAATCTGCACTAGACAGGATAGAAAGACGTCTAACAGCTCTGCACAGCATGGACTATTAGAGGTAAACGCCCCTACACCATAAACCACTCAAGTCAATCACAACTCTCTGCTATATGTGTAAAGCTACTCACTGTAGTCACACCCCACATGTCATGCTGCAGGATACCCTTGCTGACGGGGCTTCCTTGGTATGTCTCATAATGACCATACTTCTCAGCCAGTTCACAACTTGCATCCAAGGCAGCGAAGTAGATGGTTTCAAAAATCTCCTTGTTCAGCTGTTTTGCCTCAGCACTATCGAAGGGGAACCTCATCAAGATAAATGTGTCTGCAAGTCCTTGCACCCCAATTCCAATGGGACGGTGCCGTTTGTTGCAACGCTCTGCCTACAGTTTGAAACACAGAATTTTAAAATATATCAAAATGGAAAAGGACAACAAAAGTGACAAAGTTCATTAAGCATAACAACATGGACACTTTTCACGCTGGTAGCGCATTGGGCATAGCATGCTAGACTATTCTGTAGGCCAATCAGCTCTCAATGGGTGATGAGGTTAACATCACACTGGCTGCCTTCTTCATTTCCCAGAACGCGGTACCAGTTTTAGACTGGGTCGAGCTGAAAAGTATGTAAACAAGGAAATAAATTAAACCACTAGGGGGATGGGGGTAATCACGACTGACGTTCAACCCCACCAGGTTCGCATGACAAGTGATAAACACCCAGTGACACCATTCAGATGAGAATCACCCAGGCGCAAGTCCAAGAAACCCTGTAGGTTATATTTAGGGCCCCTGACAACAGCCGGGGTTAGGCTTTAAAAAAAAATGTTAAAAATTGCGTCCCACGTTGGGACAGGGTATATACCAGTGTAACCACAACACTAGATTTGACATGCAAATCAGAGATTTAGAGCAGAATTTACCTAGAAAAGACTGCTTTCATAAGAGGAAAATTATTTGATGTAATAAGTCACTTTGTCTTGAATGTCAGAGAAAGTACTGAAATGTTTTATATTTAGCCTAGTCTGCTGTGTGGCAGTTCATCAGGGAACTTTAATGAGCACATCAGGAACAGCTGTAGTGTAACATAGAGATGTCATCGCTATTTGTCAGGAGTTAGGATATTGCGCATAACTAGAATAATCAACAAGTCTTGGCAACCTTGGCATTCCTTTCTAGAACCTTCGTGTGTTTATTAGCAGAGATATTTTGCAAATGATAATCAATAATTAGTATCTGAAGTCAGGTTTTTAAGCGTGCCATAACAAAGAGAACGCAGTAATAGACTATCTAGAAATCCACAGAAGGCCAGTCGCCAAACAAATGCGTGTATTTTGGTGAAGAGCTGTCTGATGCAATCAAGCTGCAATGAGAAAATCCCACGTGAGAACGCACAAAGTGAACATGTTGAGCCATACTAGAACATTCTAGAAGCAGTTAGCGAGTACAAAACACAGACCACACATTCCAGTATAAATACTGAATAATAAACCAGTTGGGTATCTTTGGGTCATTGAGAATGGGGATAGGAGTTACTAGTAAAGGAGCCTCAAAGAGAACCTTCTAACTACAAGACTTAGAAGGGGGGACTAGTCATCTAGTCACGGGCGAACACCTACAGTTGTTGGGATTGTCAGCTCAACACTAGAAGGAGAGGAATCAGTCACATGGAACCTCAAAGACTGTCCCTAGAGAGGAGACATGAACGAGACATCAAACTACAGAGACCAAAGACAAGATACATGGATCCATGATTGATAGATATACATCAGATGGAAACACTATTAAGATATTAGAGTCGACGATCAACCCGTTAGTACCAGACGGAATTAAAAGCCAGGTGGCAGTTATGGACACTAGAACCAGTTAAGAAAGTAACTAGAGATGAAGAGCAGAATGCGACCTGAAGAATATGTAACCATAGAGCTAAAATATCTTGATGTTATTTGTGGCATTACTGAGGTAACACAATAAAGACAGTACAGAAAAGAATAGTTGTTTCCAGCCATTTAATTACTCAAGCATCCGTGACGTGAAAAGCATGCACCAAGTATGAGAGACTATCATCATATCAACACAACCATTTTTCACCTCATCTATATTCTTCAATTGATTGATCCTGTAGCAAACCAAAGATGAACCTGGGTGTGACATCAACACACATAAAGAAGACAGCTGAGCTACAGTAGATACAACAACACAACTGGCAGCAGAAGAGGCTGAAGGTGGCAGACAAGGATTGGCAGGATAAAAAGTGGCAGAGGAATGACAGAGGATTGGAAGAGAAAAGTGAAATAAAACTATTGACAGAGAAAAGTCTGAAAGTAAAAAAAAATACTGGATAATTTAAAATCTGACAGTTTTCATGGAGCAATAAAAGTGTGTTTATTCTGAAAGCACGAAGATCAGGGCTGAAAATCCCTGGAAAGAGCTACAATTGAAATGTTCCTTGTGACAGTACAGACCATGTAAAGAACTACAGTTGAAATGTTCCCTGTGACAGTACAGGCCAGCCTGTAAAGAACTACAGTTGAAATGTTCCTTGGGACAGTACAGACCATGTAAAGAACTACAGTTGAAATGTTCCTTGGGACAGTACAGGCCAGCATGTAAAGAACTACAGTTGAAATGTTCCTTGTGACAGTACAGGCCAGCATGTAAAAGGCTACAGTTGAAATGTTCCTTGTGACAGTACAGGCCAGCATGTAAAGAACTACAGTTGAAATGTTCCTTGGGACAGTCCAGCATGTAAAGAACTACAGTTGAAATGTTCCTTGTGACAGTACAGGCCAGCATGTAAAGAACTACAGTTGAAATGTTCCTTGGGACAGTACAGGCCAGCATGTAAAGAACTACAGTTGAAATGTCCCTTGTGACAGTACAGACCATGTAAAGAACTACAGTTGAAATGTTCTTTGGGACAGTACAGGCCAGCATGTAAAGAACTACAGTTGAAATGTTCCCTGTGACAGTGCAGCATGTAAAGAACTACAGTTGAAATGTTCCTTGGGACAGTACAGACCAGCATGTAAAGAACTACAGTTGAAATGTTCCCTGTGACAGTGCAGCATGTAAAGAACTACAGTTGAAATGTTCCTTGGGACAGTACAGACCATGTAAAGAACTACAGTTGAAATGTTCCTTGGGACAGTACAGGCCAGCATGTAAAGAACGACAGTTGAAATGTTCCTGTGACAGTACAGGCCAGCATGTAAAGAACTACAATTGAAATGTTCCTTGGGACAGTACAGACCAGCATGTAAAGAACTACAGTTGAAATGTTCCTTGGGACAGTACAACAAGACAGAAGCTTTCACAGAAAACTGGTTAGTTACCTCGGAGACAGGGTAGTAGTTGATGTCAATGATCTTGTTCAGGTTACGAACAATGACTTTTGTCACCTGCTGCAGTTTCTCAAAATCGTATGTTTTGTCAGGTTTCACATACATGTTCAGTGCAATAGATGCTAAGTTGCAGACGGCTACCTAAAAAAAAAAAACATACAACAGAATATAAAACTATCACTTTTAATACGTTTATAAACATTCAAATGTGAACTCAAATGTTATAATCAATATTTATGTTTTCCTGTTTTTCTGCATGGCTTCTGTGGCCCCGTTCTAGGGAACAACCGCCCCTTAACAAGTACACCCTAAAAAGAAACTACATCAAAACCATACTAAAACAAATGCCCAAAAAAATGTATTTCATTGTAAAAAATGTGGGTCTATTTACACCCACCCCCCCCCCCCCCCCAGCAGGTCCTTGGACCCGACAGGGGGCAGTACTTGTATACAACACCCAAGGTAAAGCGAACCTGCTCTTGACCCCTAGGCTTACTCAGCCTAACGTGAGTAGAGGAAAATTCCTGGGCAGAGAAGATAGCCAGCATAACACGACCACATCACCCATCATGAGCCCGCTGGTCACAACGTGGGAGCACCATCAACCAAATATGTCTTGTGGTATTATGACTAGTGGTGGTTGGCCGAAAAGCTTCTGCTAAATAAAATAAAATATTCAAATTTTTTTTTTCAATAAAACAATGCTAATAAAAGTTAAGTCTTAAAAATTATTACAAAATGATGTTATTAAATTGAAAGTCCTTTGTGCCCGTGACGTAGAATTCTTCTTCCCCACTCCTGACCCAGAAGGGTGTGCAATACAGCTACAGTGCCACACCTATGGAGAACAATGTCAGGATGTCACCTGGTCATACATGATTCCGTAGATCACTTCAAGCTGGTTAATGTTTCTTCCTCAGGTTGTAGGTATTCCTCTGTCAGCAGACACCAAGATCATGACCAGGGGAATCTGGAAACCTCACAACAAACTGGAACAAAAAATTAGTTACCATAGAGATGAGATGTCTGAGAAAGGCTGCAGGAGTGTCCAAGAGTTAAAATCAAGAATGAAGTCAAATGAGGAAAAGTCGCCAAACAACGAATACTAAACACAATTACTATGATGGTTAACTTAAAGTATTGGTCTCCAACCTGCCTCCAGGGAGGACAGATGAGAAGGCTTCAGTGCCCCCCTCCCCCTGAACAAGGCTTAGAGAGAATGACTTGTGTTGCCGTCTTTTCCAAAAGAGAAGAGGGGCATCAAGCAAGTGGTAGACCAAGAACAAGACAGACAGATTAGATAGCATTCGAGACATTCTACATTAGGATGTGCCTGTAGTCGTGGGAGCAGAACCTTTAATCTCAGTTGACGCTTAAAGCAGTAAAAAAAACAAAAAAAAGGAAGTGAAGAAGATATAAATGTATGTCAACACAGTTCTGTGTGTAATATCTGTTTATAATTTACCTCATCAGGGGCACTGTATTCTACAATCTCCGTGCACAAGTTACTGCCCTTGATGGTGCCAAGGTTCTGTTGGTTGGACTTTCGGTTGCAGCTGTCTTTGTACAGCATGTAGGGTGTGCCAGTTTCTGTCTGTGATTCTATGATGGCATACCATAATTTCTGAGCACTGACAGTTTTTCTTCCCCGTCCTTCTGCTTCATACCTTATTGAAAACGTATTTACATAAACAGCGTTACCAAAGTGGGAAAAAATGAAATGTTTATACATAGCTGTTTAGGATGACAGAAAATAGTTAACCTGTTTTAGTCTCCAAAAAAGTCAGGGATGACAAATATCTTTCAAATTCATGCCAGGGTACGCAGGCGTGCAAGGAAATGAGCAAGCTATCATGGACGGCAGACGAGCCATGGACCATGCTGATATACTGAATGCTCTACGAGAAGTAAGAAGTTTGTGAGAACCAAGTGATGACTGTGGATCCGCAATCATGACCAGACTGCAAGAACAACATATTAAAAGGGTTGTGGCCAGACAAGAGCACTATGCAGAAAGCCAAAGAAGAATAAGAAACCAAACTGGAACTGGTGTCCTAAGCCACCATACGCTGCAGGATTGACTGAGGAGGTTATCCTAGCACTTTTGGATTGAATGTTTTGATGTGCGATGAGGATAATCTGTTGACTCCCCCTCCTCCTCTTGCACACACAAGATACGGCCTGATGTGGCCATTACAGATACAATTATAACTTTTTTGGAGGTTGAACAGGCAGACATTTCTGTGATATAAATGTTACCCATCCAAAAGCTATGTGATATAAATGTTACCTATCCACAAGCTATGTGATATAAATGTTGCCCATCCACAAGCTATGTGAATAAATATTACCCATCCACAAGCTATGTGATATAAATATTACCCATCCACAAGCTATGTGATATAAATGTTACCCATCCACAAGCTATGTGATATAAATGTTACCCATCCACAAGCTATGTGATATAAATATTACCCATCCACAAGCTATGTGATATAAATGTTACCCATCCACAAGCTATGTGATATAAATATTACCCATCCACAAGCTATGTGATATAAATGTTACCCATCCACAAGCTATGTGATATAAATGTTACCCATCCACAAGCTATGTGATATAAATGTTACCCATCCACAAGCTATGTGATATAAATGTTACCCATCCACAAGCTATGTGATATAAATGTTACCCATCCACAAGCTATGTGATATAAATGTTACCCATCCACAAGCTATGTGATATAAATGTTACCCATCCACAAGCTATGTGATATAAATATTACCCATCCACAAGCTATGTGATATAAATGTTACCCATCCACAAGCTATGTGATATAAATATTACCCATCCACAAGCTATGTGATATAAATGTTACCCATCCACAAGCTATGTGATATAAATGTTACCCATCCACAAGCTATGTGATATAAATGTTACCCATCCACAAGCTATGTGATATAAATATTACCCATCCACAAGCTATGTGATATAAATGTTACCCATCCACAAGCTATGTGATATAAATATTACCCATCCACAAGCTATGTGATATAAATGTTACCCATCCACAAGCTATGTGATATAAATGTTACCCATCCACAAGCTATGTGATATAAATGTTACCCATCCACAAGCTATGTGATATAAATGTTACCCATCCACAAGCTATGTGATATAAATGTTACCTCTGGAAAGACTACATGCCATTTAATGTCTCCTAGTTTTTGTTTTTTAATTTCCTTATTTTTTATTTTATCTTTTTCTAAGATAAAACACCTTTGTTGTTACGATGTCCCACCCATGATTTGTAGCAAAAGTCTACTCTTGGCACTGGTAATATAAAGATGGCCAAGAAATAGTTATCAGAGAAATGTATACTTCTGTGTGTAGAACCTTGTGTTAGTTGTCCCAGGACCTGGTTTGCTTTGGTGTGATTTCTCTATCCATTCTTCCTTTTGATGTGAACATTGACCTACATGTTACCTAGATGATACAAATGTAACCTTTTAAAAGCCAGCATGTTACAGAACTGGGAAGTAAAGGCGGCCGGCGTGATGCTGACCACATCACCCACCAAGTACCGTTTGGTCTATAAAATATAGGTCTAGCCCTATACACCTGAAGAAGTGGAAAAGGATCCTTTACTATATTTGTAGATGTTACGGAAAGCACAGAGCCCAGAATAAAACTATGTATTAGCAAATATGATGCTTACTTCTGATAGAGTTGGTCAAACTCTTGGCCCCAAACATCTGCAAGCCCAGGGCATTCATTTGGACACATAAGTGTCCAGTTTTCATTTGCTTCAACACGCCACATGAACAGATCGGGAATCCACAGTGCATAGAAAAGATCTCTGGCCCGCTGTTCTTCCTTGCCAGTATTTTTCTTCAAGTCCAGAAATTCAAACACGTCGGCATGCCACGGCTCCAGATAAATGGCAAAGGCACTGGGCCGCTGCAGACAGATCAAATACAAATTTAAAACAAATTTTTTTAAAAAAAGTTATCGAAGCTCATAGACTGTTCTAGTATTGGAGGAAAGGGTACTGGACTGTTCTAGTATCGGAGGAAAGAATACTTGACTGTTCTAGTATCGGAGGAAAGAATACTAGACTGTTCTAGTATCGGAAGAAAGAATACCAAACTGTTCTAGTACTGTAGGAAAGATTAGTGGACTGTAATGTCATCAGAATTAGCTATTATGATCTCAATGCTCATCATAAAGTACTTGTTTTTTGTTTTCGTTCTCCTGACCAGTGGCTTTCAGATGAGAAAGCCAGAAGCCTCTCTGAAGGTTGTGGTGCAACACATGTCTTCCACGGATCTGTTCAGCTTGCTGTCCATGGAAGTGTGAACAGACCAGTCCTGGGATCTGTTTACTGTGTGTAGATGGCATGTTTTCCCCAGATCTATAGTCCATGGAAGTGTGAAAGGGCCAGACCTGGGATCTGTCTAATGTGTCTAGATAGCGTGTCTGCAGCACAGGTTCTGTATTTTGTTTGGCCTGTATTCTGAGCTCCGGGTCTTGAGTTTTCTGTACAAAAAATGGCTGCAGTCTTTTGTATCCAGTTCACAATCTAAATACAGTGGTCTGTGAGGAGTTTAAGTCTTCAAGATTCTGTTCTGGGCAAGAAGTGTTCCAAAATCTTCTAAAGGGGCTGCCCTGATCTGATTTTATTTTCCCCATAAATGTTTTCTTCATCTGTCTGTTCTGTATTCTATTTTTGTCTCTCATTTCGCATAATGTTGCAGTGGCCTGGGACAGTTTGCTGGGTTAGGTGTGGCCTGGGACAGTTAGCTGGGTTAGGTGTGGCCTGGGACAGTTTGCTGGGTTAGCTGTGGCCTGGGACAGTCTGCTGGGTTAGCTGTGGCCTGGGACAGTCTGCTGGGTTAGCTGGCTCCACTGATTCAGCCGAGATCTACACTTGTTGAACTGTAGTTTCTTATCGTTTTGTATTGCTGGCAATACTAAGCAAGCATCTTATTACTCGTCGTCATGATGTGCAAATTTCAAGAAAGTATTTTTATTTTAAACTGCTGTTAAAAAAATTGTTGAAACCAGCTTGTAAACTACAAACGCCTGATGTGTGACAAGGACCCTTAAATGAAGCAAAGAATAGTAACCTGTATCCCTGTGTGGGTTCTAGGGGGGGGGGGGGGGGGGGGGGGGGGGGGGCAGACCCACTGCCTCCCTGACAAGCATGTTTGTAAAAGGCAACTAATTAAGGGTGTTTCCTTAAAAGCTGTGGTGCATCTGCTTGACAGGCAAGGAACCAACAATATGCATACCAACAGGTCAGATCTGTAAAACGGATGTGCAGGCAAAACTCAAGTTCTGGAACAACAACACAGTCCAGAAGCGGGTGAATAAGTAGAACTTTCCGCTGCAGTTTACAGCTAGTGAACACTATAAAGCCACCTTACAATCTACCATGCATGTCATAAGCGGAATCTTAGGAGGGTTGGTGTGAGACTGCCTATCTATCTCATCCTGTAGAAACTAGTTACAAACCCAAAAAATCATGAACAAGTCTCCCATTTTGATGAGGTGTTCTATGTTCCATGTGTAACTGAGAGACGAGAAGTGAGCAGACACTGACCTTTGCCTCCTTGGTTCACAAATCTGGCTGTGTTGTTATACACTCTCAGCAGAGGCACCAAGCCATTGGACACTCCGTTCGTCTGAGGAATGGTCAACAGATGTTCAGATGGCAAGCCGAATGGCAGAAACAGTAACTAAACACATGAATTATTCCTTAGCAAATGACCTATGAAAAAATAAACTCCAGCACAGCAAGCGAAATACAAAAATAAAGACAAACTGTGCAGAAATAATGTTTACAACTAGGTTCTGATAATCTAGGGGAGCCACCGTGGTGTAGCAGCTAGATGCTCGCCTGCGGATCAGAAGGTCGTGGGTTCTGGTCCAGACGGAGCCAGGCTAATTTCAGAAATGTCCTTGGTTCCCAGGTTGACCCAGCCTTATATGGGTACAAGGTAAAGTCCTGGGAAGTAAAGGCGACCTATATGATGTTGACCACATCACCCACCAAGTGCTGATTGGTCTAGCCCTATATACCCAATACGCCTGAGGGAGTGGAACCTGATCATCCGATGAAATGACTGTTTTATAAGCTATCCACCCTTTCAGGGGCTGACAGGTACAATGTCGTCCACCTGTAACGGGAAAACACTGTCTGATTCATCCACAATACAACTTATAGCATGCACGATTCTTTCAACACCTATCTGCATCCACAATACATCTTATAGCGTGCACGATTCTTTCAACACCTGTCTGCATCCACAATACAACTTATAGCGTGCAGGATTCTTTCAACACCTATCTGCATCCACAATACAACTTATAGCGTGCACGATTCTTTCAACACCTGTCTGCATCCACAATACAACTTATAGCGTGCACGATTCTTTCAACACCTGTCTGCATCCACAATACAACTTATAGCGTGCACGATTCTTTCGACACCTATCTGCATCCACAATACATCTTATAGCGTGCACGATTCTTTCGACACCTATCTGCATCCACAATACATCTTATAGCGTGCACGATTCTTCCAACACCTATCTGCATCCACAATACAACTTATAGCGTGCACGATTCTTTCAACACCTATCTGCATCCACAATACAACTTATAGCGTGCACGATTCTTTCAACACCTATCTGCATCCACAATACATCTTATAGCGTGCACGATTCTTCCAACACTTATCTGCATCCACAATACAACTTATAGCGTGCACGATTCTTTCAACACCTATCTGCACCCACAATACAACTTATAGCGTGCACGATTCTTTCAACACCTATCTGCACCCACAATACAACTTATAGCGTGCACGATTCTTTCAACACCTATCTGCATCCACAATACATCTTATAGCGTGCACGATTCTTTCAACACCTATCTGCATCCACAATACATCTTATAGCGTGCACGATTCTTTCAACACCTATCTGCATCCACAATACATCTTATAGCGTGCACGATTCTTTCAACACCTATCTGCATCCACAATACATCTTATAGCGTGCACGATTCTTCCAACACCTATCTGCATCCACAATACAACTTATAGCGTGCACGATTCTTTCAACACCTATCTGCATCCACAATACAACTTATAGCGTGCACGATTCTTTCAACACCTATCTGCATCCACAATACAACTTATAGCGTGCACGATTCTTTCAACACCTATCTGCATCCACAATACAACTTATAGCGTGCACGATTCTTTCAACACCTATCTGCATCCACAATACATCTTATAGCGTGCACGATTCTTTCAACACCTATCTGCATCCACAATACATCTTATAGCGTGCACGATTCTTTCAACACCTATCTGCATCCACAATACAACTTATAGCGTGCACGATTCTTTCAACACATATCTGCATCCACAATACAACTTATAGCGTGCACGATTCTTTCAATACCTATCTGCATCCACAATACATCTTATAGCGTGCACGATTCTTTCAACACCTATCTGCATCCACAATACAACTTATAGCGTGCACGATTCTTTCAACACCTATCTGCATCCACAATACAACTTATAGCGAGCACGATTCTTTCAACACCTATCTGCATCCACAATACAACTTATAGCGTGCACGATTCTTTCAACACTTATCTGCAACCACAATACAACTTATAGCGTGCACGATTCTTTCAACACCTATCTGCATCCACAATACAACTTATAGCGTGCACGATTCTTTCAACACCTATCTGCATCCACAATACAACTTATAGCGTGCACGATTCTTTCAACACCTATCTGCATCCACAATACAACTTATAGCGTGCACGATTCTTTCAACACCTATCTGCATCCACAATACATCTTATAGCGTGCACGATTCTTTCAACACCTATCTGCATCCACAATACATCTTATAGCGTGCACGATTCTTTCAACACCTATCTGCATCCACAATACAACTTATAGCATGCACGATTCTTTCAACACCTATCTGCATCCACAATACAACTTATAGCATGCACAATTCTTTCAATACCTATCTGCATCCACAATACAACTTATAGCGTGCTCGATTCTTTCAACACCTATCTGCATCCACAATACAACTTATAGCATGCATGATTCTTTCAACACCTATCTGCATCCATAATACAACTTATAGCGTGCACGATTCTTTCAACACCTATCTGCATCCACAATACAACTTATAGCATGCATGATTCTTTCAACACCTATCTGCATCCACAATACAACTTATAGCATGCATGATTCTTTCAACACCTATCTGCATCCACAATACAAGTTTGAAGAACTCTGATGCTTCTCAAGTGATCAGTTGGAGCAGTTAACTGGGCATTGGCACTGATACTTTACGAGCCAAAACTATAGAACACAAAACAATCCAAAGGCATAAAGAACTCTAAGGTTGTCAAGTGAAAGAATTTCACACATACAAGATCACTAAGTCAAGTGAACAGATGTCTACTTCAATGATTTAAAAATCTAGCCTGTCATTACTGAGGATTTAGCAAATTGTTCCAGAAAGTCTTATTAAAAAGCAGCCACAAACTGACTCAATGTGAGCCACAGAATTTCAGTAACCAACAGACACACAAATATCTGACAGGAAACACATCCCAGTAATATAAAACTATCTCTGACTGTAAACACATCCCAGCAATATAAAACTATCTCTGACTGTAAACACATCCCAGCAATATAAAACTATCTCTGACTGAAAACATACCCCAGCAATATAAAACTATCTCTGACTGCAAACACATCCAAGCAATATAAAACTATCTCTGACTGAAAACTTACCCCAGCTATATAACTCCCAGCAGCTCGGATACAATGAACATTGAGCCCAACTCCGCCAGCACTCTTGGAAATGAGAGCGCAGGTTTTGAGAGTACTGTAAATACCCTCGATACTGTCAGACTCCATGGTTAGCAGGAAACAGCTGAGGACAGAAAGGACACAACTGTCCACGTTACAAACACCAACATGCAACCTGTAGGACGTTACAAACACCAACATGCAACCTGTAGGACGTTACAAACACCAACATGCAACCTGTAGGATGGCTACCTCAGGAAGTATTTCATCTGAACCTAACATACAATGGCCCAGTAATCATCTATCTAGACCCCCCTTCCCCCCCTAATCATCAATCTTCCTTTAAAAAAGCACCTGTGAAGTTGTATTGTGGTTCACAGATAGAATACTAATCTGTATATTCCAATCCAGTTTCAGCAGACACTCAAAAAGTTGCTTTTTACAACATGCTTGCCAAAGGGTAATGCAGATATCGCAGCCTAGTTGTAAACCACAACGCGCCCCGACCCTTTTAAGAAGAACTCATTCCATCTGAGCCTAATTAATTTATTATTAGGTACTGTCTCTTCGTCACAAACCGTGCCGGTAATCATAGGTTGTCATGTTTTGCCATCTCACACAATTACCACAATCACAGATCAGTTCGTTTTTTATCTCTCTTTATCCATCTAGCCAGGCTATCCATGTATTTATCTCTTTGTTTTCCTCTTGCTCTCTTTCCATCAATCTTGCCAGTTGTTACCGAGTTCTTGAGTCCGTTCCTTCCCCCTATGACCACAAATATTGATTGTCTATGACTAATTGTTCCGACAAGTTTATAACTTTCATCTGTCTAAATGAGAGTCACCCTGGTGTGGTGGCTAGACGCCCTGGTGTGGTGGCTAGACGTCCTGGTGTGGCGGCTAAATGCCCTGGTGTGGTCGCTAGACGCCCTGGTGTGGTAGCTAGATGCCCTGGTGTGGTCGCTAGACGCCCGCCTGCGGATTGGAAGGTCATGGGTTTGGGTCCTGATGGGGCTGACTTTTTAAAAAAATGGCCTTGGCTCCTAGATTGACCCAGTCTTGAGTGGCTACCAGGTAAAGTCTTGGGAAGTAAAGCGGCTGGCGTGATGCTGACCACATCACCCACCAAGTACTGTTTGGTCTATAAATATAGGTCTAGCCCTATATACCTAAAGGCGTGGAAAAGGGTCCTAACTGTCTGAATAAGTGACTGATTAGCATTCACAAAACTAGAATGAAGACAAAAGGGAACAGCAGTAGCTAGTTCCAAACACAACTATTAAGTGCCTTGCCAGTCAACGATAAACCTCCCCACAACTCTAGCACTTCTCTGCTTGTCTGTTGTTCCTGGGATGCGTGTGTGTGTGGATTAAATGTTGGGTGGTGTGCCAGTTCACAACAAAGCTGTATTTCGTTTAGCTGACATGACTGATTTTCTTGACCCAGTTAGGCTTCCTGGATACTTAAGTTTGCAAAAAGTAAATGATGCTAACCCATGAATTCAATAACCAGTTGACTCCTAGTGGGCGTCACTGTTAGTACAATGTCAACAGCCCTCACATTCCAAAATGTTTCCAGTGCAAGCTTTTAGCTAGTTAAACAATATCTCAGTTTGCTGTCTCCAGTCCCTGTGTGGGTTCTGGGGAAAACAAGAATAGATACACTGCCTCCCTAACAAGCATGTCATAAGAGCCACCTAACTGGAGACTTCCTTTGAGGTTGGAATGCATCTGCCTGAGAGGCAAGGAACCAACAATCTGCACACAAATAAGTCAGATCCGTAAAAAGATGTGCACACAACATTCATGTCCAGGAACTTTCTGCTGGAGTTTACTACCGGTGAACATGAAGAAGAAGAGCGGTCTCTAATGTCTGAAGACTTTAATTGGTCGCCTGCTGTGGATCATTTTCCTACTGGACTACATGACCAAAACTTGCAACAACCCACAAACATCATAATAATAGTGATACCTGGACAGCTGGGGCTTGTTTGTGCCAGCATTGAAAAGTGTCGGGGATGCATGGATGAACCACTTCTCTGAGAGCAGATTGTAGGTCTGTCAGGAGAATGGGACACAAATATGTTGGTGACTACACTAGGCTTTTTAACATATCTACAGGAGAAAATGTAACATACAAGCTGGCAATCTGCTTGACTTCCCCCTTGGAACTTTCTCACCCCCTCCACTTGGAACTTCCACACGCCCTCCTTGGAACTTCCTCACATCCCCTTGGAACTTCCTGATGCCCCCTTGGAACTTCCTCACACCCCCTTGGAACTTCCTCACACCCCCTTGGAACTTCCTCACACCCCCTTGGAACTTCCACACGCCCTCCTTGGAACTTCCTCACACCCCCTTGGAACTTCCTCACGCCCTCCTTGGAACTTCCACACGCCCTCCTTGGAACTTCCACACGCCCTCCTTGGAACTTCCACACGCCCTCCTTGGAACTTCCTCACACCCCCTTGGAACTTCCTCACACCCCCTTGGAACTTCCTCACACCCCCTTGGAACTTCCTGATGCCCCCTTGAAATGTCCACACAACCCCCACCTTCATTGGAACTTTCTCCCCCCCCCCCCCAGGTTGTAGACCCCTGGCTTAGGTAAATGTCTGGCTTTTTAATTGTTTGTGAAAAGTATTACTGAACATGAAACTGCTTCATTTATTGGAGATATTAAAGTGGAGGTTTGTGTGTGGGCAAGAACAAAATGGGGTGGAGGTTTGTGTGTGAACAGGAATAAGGTAAGTTCTAACCAAGCTGCTATGAAGAAATACCAACAGAGTGTTAACTGTTTTTTTTTTTTTTTTTAGTGAATATAAAAAATGTTTGTTTATTAACTTAAAAAACCGAAAATGTTCACTGTTCATTATCTAATAACCCAAAATGTTAACTGTTTATTATCTAAAAAAACCCACAATGTTAACTGTGTACATAACATAATGGTCCGCCGATGATCCTCAGACTGGTGAAAAGACCAGTCCTCCATCCCCACACAATACCCAGATACCATCACCACGGATGTGTTGCACATGACCCCCCCAGTGGTCTATGTCACTGGTTCACAACTGTGAGACCTGGTCCTACATCAGTGGTCTGTGTCACTGGTTCCCAACTGTGAGACCTGGTCCTACATCAGTGGTCTATGTCACTGGTTCACAACTGTGAGACCTGGTCCTACAATATCAGTGGTCTGTGTCACTGGTTCACAACTGTGAGACCTGGTCCTACAACATCAGTGGTCTATGTCACTGGTTCCCAACTGTGAGACCTGGTCCTACATCAGTGGTCTGTGTCACTGGTTCACAACTGTGAGACCTGGTCCTACAATATCAGTGGTCTGTGTCACTGGTTCACAACTGTGAGACCTGGTCCTACAACATCAGTGGTCTATGTCACTGGTTCACAACTGTGAGACCTGGTCCTACATCATCAGTGGTCTGTGTCAATGGTTCCCAACTGTGAGACCTGGTCCAACATCAGTGGTCCATGTCACTGGTTCACAACTGTGAGACCTGGTCCTGCAATACCGATGGTCTATGTCACCGGTTGACCGATCACTGGTCAAACATTATATCATGTGATTTTAAACTTTCAACTTGCCTCAATAGCTGCATCAATGTCCTCTTTGTGAATGCCAACTGCAACCCTCATCAACATCTGCTGGGGGCGCTCAGCAACTACAACAGAAATTCACAAAGCATTACTGAATATTGGTAACAAAACACAAGTGACATAATGTAAATAACCATATCCCTGTGTGGATTCCAGGACCCCATTGTGGGGAAACAAGAACTGTCCCCATCACAAGGAAGTCGTCAAAGTCTTTTAATTAGGAGCTTCCTTCTAAGCTGGAGTGCAACTGCCTTAGAGCAAGGAACCAACAATCTGCTCACAAATAGGCCAGGTCTCTAAAGCAGATGTGCAAGCAAAACTCCAGTTCTGGAAAAAGACCAGAAGTGGATGAACAACCAGAACTTCTTGCTGGAGTTTACAGCTGGTGAACACAGAAGTAATTATCATTTCACAGAGATGTGTGAGTATGGAGAGGGGAAGGTGACATGTGTAGCATGTCTGTGAAGATGGTTACTGTATGTGGATGGAGAGTTGGCCTTTACACTAAGATATGTGTGACATACCCTGTCCATTCCCCATCAGGGTTATGGGTCCCCTTTGTGAAAAAAAACAAGAATAGACACAGCCTTAACACGCGTGTCGAAGGATCGACTTAAATGGAAGCATTCTTCGAAGTCGGAGTGCATCTGGCCAAGTGGCACAGAATAACCAGCTGACTGCCAGTAAAACGGATGTAAATGCAAAACTCAGGCCCTGGTACAAAGCCAAAGTCCAAATGGTCGAACAACCAGAACTTTCCCGCTGGAGCTCACGGCCGCTGAGCACAGACGATATCTTGCCCATCAGTGCTTAGGGCAGTGGTCTTCAATCTTTTTTGGGTGGTGCCCCCTTGAGTATATGGCAAGTCACCCCCTGCCCTCCCCCCACAACATAATAAAATGGGATCAAACAGAGGAGGAATGTGTTCTTGATCTAAAATTAAATGCAGATGTTATAGTAAAACAATTTTTTACATTAGGTATACAAACTGCTCATGGAAACCAAAACCTCCTTGGCTTTTTTGTTTTATATTTAAAATATTTTATTTGTAATTCAATTCTTTTAAAATGTTAATATAACGGATAATTACATGAACTAATTTTCACAAACTGCTTGACTTCCCCCTTAAAACTTCCTCACCTCCCCCTTTTCCCTTCCTGATGCCCGCCACGTCACTTCTCTCCCCCCCCCCTCCCCCAGGTTGTAGACCCCTGGCTTAGGCAGAAAGAAGCAGAAAATGTGTGGCATACCTTTTCCATCAATTTTCAAGAGATAGGACTTTTCCAAAGTCTGAAAGAGAACAAATAGACATTTTCTGGTTAAACACTGAAACAGAACACTGAATGTTGTCAGCAACTTATAATGTGTGCAACATGGTCAGAACTGATCAAGAGTGTTTCACCATCAAGTGGGGTTTTACTATGACTGTATTAGTTCACACACTACATTCCTTTTTTCTTTTTAGTGTTCACCAGCTGCAAACTTTGGCAGAAAGTTCCGGCTGATCATCCACTCCAGACTTTGGTTGATCCAGAACTTAGGTATTGTGTGCACATCTGGTTTACAGATCAAGCTTATTTGTATGCAGACCGTCGGTTCCTTGCCTCTCAGGCAGATGCTCTCTGATTTCAAAGGAAGCCCCTAATTAGTCGACTCTGCAAAACTCCCCTAATTCCTGGCCTGCTAGGACATGCTTGTTAATGTGGTAGAAGAGCTATTTTATGTTCTCCAAAATAGATCCCCAGAAGCTACACAGGAAAGACTACATTTCAAAAGTGGGAGATAAAAGAGATTTCCCCTAATCAAATTTAATGAAATCCTCCAAAAGACTATCACAGCTTATTGCAGATACAACAGAATCAGTGCAGGAGGTCTAGAGACACTCAGACTGAACTATCTGGCCACAGTTCGTGAACATACCTACATTACATTTCGCAAAATACGGTAAATAATTTGTGCAATGTTCTCAATCATTTAATGAGACATACCTTGAATCCAAAATAGTTGTAGCAATAGTCTCTATCATATATGATGGCAGAGTTCAAGCGCTGTGAGGATTCAAGTACAAGATGGATTAGACATGATAATTATACTGTACATTTTTTGTTAATCATGGATGTGAATAAACTTTACAATAGGCGTATTAATCGATAGGAACAGTGAGTTTTAGTTGGTCACATATGCAGCTATGTGACTTAGAGATTAGCTAATGTGTTTGACAATCTACAAGGTTCCAGCATTTGATTCACACAGCAGGCGGTTTTAAAACAGACCCTTCTGGTGGCTTCCAGACACTAGTACAATGTGCACAGTGGTGCAAAGTTATGTATGGCTTTCAGACACTAGTACAATGTGCACATTGATGAAAAGATATATGTGGCTTTCAGACACTAGTACCATAAGCACAGTAATGAAAAGCTATATGTGGCTTTCAGACACTAGTAGAATGTGCACAGTGATGCAAAGTTATGTGTGGCTTTCAGACACTAGTAGAATGTGCACATTGATGAAAAGATATATGTGGTTTTCAGACACTAGTACAATGTGCACAGTAATGAAAAGCTATGTGTGGCTTTCAGACACTAGTACAATGGGCACATTGATGAAAAGTTATATGTAGCTTTCAGACACTAGTACCATAAGCACAGTAATGAAAAGCTATGTGTGGCTTCCAGACACTAGTACAATGTGCACAGTAATGAAAAGTTATATGTAGCTTTCAGACACTAGTACAATGGGCACATTGATGAAAAGTTATATGTAGCTTTCAGACACTAGTACAATGTGCACATTGATGAAAAGTTATATGTAACTTTCAGACACTAGTACAATGTGCACAGTAATGAAAAGCTATATGTTGTTATCAGACACTAGTACAATGGGCACATTGATGAAAAGTTATGTGTGGCTTTCAGACACTAGTAGAATGTACACATTAATGCAAAGATATGTGTAGCTTTCAGACACTAGTACAATGTGCACAGTAAAGAAAAGCTATATGTAGTTATCAGACATTAGTTCAATGTGCACAGTAATGAAAAGCTATATGTAGCTTTCAGACACTAGTACAATGTGCACAGTAATGAAAAGCTATGTGTGGCTTTCAGATTTGAGTACGATGGGCACAGTAACGCCAAGATATGTGTAGCTTTCAGACACTAGTACAATATGCACAGTAATGAAAAGTTATGTGTGGCTTTCAGATGTTAGTACAATGGGCACAGTAATTAAAAGATATGTGTGGTAGACTAGTTACTATTCGTTGCTTTCCTTGAGCTCCAGTCAAACATACCTGACCAAAATTGTTTGTAGCTGTGAAATTCCAGTACCAGTTTTGTACCAATACAGCTGATTTCTGGGCAGAAAATTCAGTCCCTGTGTCAAAGGTGCTTTAGTGTTAGATTGGGAAGAGTCTATGAAAGAACATTAACTTGTCCTGCAGACCACAGTCATCCTGTAGTTGGCATCTCACAGCTCACTGACTGTGTGTACATCTATGTTGAACAACATCCAAGACACTGCCCAAATCACACCTGTAGTGCTACCTACTAGACCCCCGAGACATTATTGAACTTGCATCCTGTCACACATTTTGCCACCCTGTGTCATTACATTTGTGGTCAATAAATCCACTCTTGCGACCACAACCTTTGCCCTGGGCAGCAGACTCATGTACTTTGAGGCATTCTAATTACAATAATATAAGTTACAAGGAATATTTTTTTTCCAAACCCTGTATCCTAGGCCCATATTTGTCTAGATCTATGGCCACTTTTAGTGCAATGAGCTAAGCCCCCCCAAAAAAAAACATTTTCCTGATACTTATTTCAAGCTGGGCTCGCCTGGGAGCCAAGGGCAGTCTTGTTTAAAACTTGAAGATTACTAAGGAGATAAACTAAGATTCCAACCATAACCAAACTCAAAAGAAATGAAACAAACAGAGCCAGGCACAGTAGCATCTCCTATGTCTGAGGTAACAAACAGCAGCCATAGAAGAGTTAAAGTAACTGCCTCTATCTCTATTCTCATACTGGTTGTAGTTATGACGTGTGTACTAGTGTTTCCTCTAAAGATAAAAACAAACATCTATGGTTAATCAATGAGTGATCAGCAAAGATAAAACCATACACACATCGGCATTCTTGAGAATTATGTTGTAGACTTCCTCCGAAATCATGGGAGAGTGCTGGCCTGTCTTTGGGTTGATCCAGTTGTACAAATCTGCCATGGCTTCTGTAAAAACCAAACAATTAAACAGTTACCAATTATTTCCAACTAACTGCCTAATCAAGCATCTCAACAGAACTATGACCTGTCTTCCCAGTTAGTTGCGTATGCTTTACAGGACGTTGCAGAACCAACCCCAACAGCCAGGGGTTGTTATATGGTTTTCTATGCAAATTTACATCCACTAGTTTGACATTGCTTTCTGGACGGTGGGCTTTCTTGATACCACTGTCGAAACCAACGCAAGGCGCATGGCCCGCAGCTGGGGTCGAACCCGGCATCACAAAGTGTTCGCATCGACTTAGCCACAAAGCCGACAGTGATTCACTAGAAAACAGATATTTTTAATGTTTGTGAGTTTAAAAAAAATCTTTTTTAATAATGTGGAAATGGTTTTATAAACTTTCTTCTTCTTCTCACAGTCCATGCCGTGTGGCACTGGTTTTCATGTCTATCCATAACCGTTTGTCTTGTGTACTTTCAACCAATTCTGACACAGATAATAAACTCTTTAGCAGTTATAAACAGTAATAGATGACACTGCAGTGGGAAGTTGTGTGGCCTGTAGCAGCGTATGCATCTCTCCAGGCTGTCTGGATGTTTGCAAGATAAAGGCCTGTATTGCTAATACAGAAATAAATAGTATATGGGTGAAGTAGACAGCTTACCACTGAAGACCTTTTTGCTCTCCTTGTGCAGATTGGATACAGCAATGCGGGCAGCAAGAACAGCATAGTCAGGATGTTTGGTGGTCATTGTTGCTGCTGTTTCAGCTGCCAGGTTGTCCAGCTCCACTGTAGTGACTCCGTTGTACAGCCCGTTTATAACCTTCAGGGTGATGGTCGCCTGTGACCAATGACAATAAATTAAGGACACTATGACAAAATGGTTTCCAAAAACTAATGGCTACTGTCCCATGAAACCAACATACAGACTTGTGCTTATACTAGCACACACAAGTACAGGAAACCAGTGATGCATACGGAAACTGACACAGCTTCACAATAAATGATAGTTCAAGCATCACAACTTCATCCTATGGCTCTGTACTATGGGTATCGCAACCCTTCGGCCAAGATTCCATGATAGATACCGTAAATCTGGGAGACATATTGCTTTTCTGACTACCCCCGGGTGTGAACCCGGACCAGAAGAAGTTTGTCACCTGGTTGCTGTGCAGTCAGGTTTAACCAACTGATCTAGCGAGTCGGGCAAACGACCTTCTAACTGTTAAATCACAGTGGCTCACAGTGAGCACAAGATGCAATGATTTGACATCCTTCTTTACCACCCTTTGGGCCTCTGAAGCTAAACCCCCAGGGGCTGAAAGATTAAAGAAAGCAAAGTGTAAACATTTGTTTCAGTTCATATGTTATGTGAGACTAATTTTTGACAGAAATATATATTGGCAGTTATTTTCCTATTTTGTTGGCTTTAGCATTAAAATATTTGAAGGGTTGGAACTTTCAAACCTTTTATTAAATAAAAATAAAGGGTGTGATAAAGACAGACTGGCCTGTTCTGCACCAGTCTTCCTGATGCCAGAATTTCCCGGCACATATAAGTAATCAGATGAAACTTGTTCCTGCTTGATGGAAGGGGATGGTAGGTGACACCAGCACTCCAAACATTTGAAGGCATTCTGTAAACATAATGTTGTTTGTAAGCTCTGGGTACAGGAAAAACAGATTTTGGACAACATAATACATTTCTTGCTGGTAGGCACCAACTGGAGATAGGAGGAAACAGACAGAAAAGGTAACATGGTATGCTGAAGGAGTGTATATCAAGTTGACAGCCTTCAATGCTTCAGGACTTGAGTCCCACAATAACTTTCCATCATTCTCAGGCCTACTAACTCTGTGTCGTGGATGTACTCAACAAACATTATATATCCTCCTAGTCTCCTTCTAGGTACTGGCATGCAGTCTGTTCACCAGGAGATTATCAGACACTGCTAGCCTAGGCCCACGCTCTGCCTGTCCACTAGATTTGTACTCATATCATGCCCTGGTTATATCCTCTCTATAGATGTGGAGTTTCAGCACCACATTGGAACACCTTTCTGGTTTGTGCCTTTGGAGAGGGACAGCAAGCTCTGCAACATGAGTCTCTGTGGAAATGATGTTTCAATATTGGGTTGCCAGATAAACCTCACTCTGATCGATGTAAACCCTTGTAGAGCTCAGACATCTAGTGAAATGAAACATCTGACTCCTGAGTTAGTCTTTCAGATTATTCAGAAAATAACCATCTCTTGGTTGACAGCAGTTAAACACTATTAAAGCTGCACAGAAATTGTTTGTGTGTGTGTGTGGACAAAACAAATAAAATATCCCTGATTACTTATTTAGTTGATACCCAGTTTAAAATTGACAAGTGTAGGAAAAAACTCTACCGGATCAACAAAGTCTTTGTGTAGACCATAGCACAATTTCTGAATTCTGGAGGTGATCTTGTCAAAGTGAACCTTCTCTGTTCGGCCACCTGCAGGACCAGATAAATAAGCAAGCTCAAATTTAACATGATCAGATCATGACGTCATAATGGACTGCATAGTGTTTTCATTTTTTTTCCCAATCTTCCTGGTGGAGCACAAGTCCTTAACCACTCACCCAGCTATCACCAAGACCTGCCTCTTTCTGTAGATTTCACCCCTCCTCTCCCTAAAATAAGTATATTTATAAATTATTTTTTTTTTGGGGGGGGGGGGGGGGGGGGGGGGGGGGGGGGGGGGGGTCTGTAATTCTCGTCTCCGTTTTTAGAAGTCTCCTGAAATGTGGTTTGGCCCAGTGAGTTGTCTTCCCTTTTCTCTAGACAGTTGTTCACACAACCTTAGCCTAAGTTTTCTACAGGCGGGAGTAGCCAGGCTCTCTAGCGTAGTTGGCTAAACCGGATTGCGTGGAGACCGGGTGACGAACTCCTTGTGGTCCGGGTTCAATCCCGGGGGTAGGCAGGAAAGCCACATTTTCTCCCAGATTTACGGTATTTACAATGGATTCAAGGCCGAAAGGTTGCGATATCCACAATACCGAGCCTAAGGGTTAACAACTCATGGCTTCTGGATACTAAAACAAACAAACAGGCGGGAGTAACAAGCTAGCTCTAGAAAACGGATGTGCACGCAACACTTAGGTTCTGGAGCAAGACTTAAGTCCGGAGGCGGATTGGTCATTGGGCCATGGCCAAGTCTATAGGGATCACATTGTTGGCCGTGATTGGACGAACACCTAGAACTGTACTGTCCGCCGGAGTTTACAGCAGGCGAAGAGGAAGGAGAGACAAGACTATACACATACTCAACAGTAACTATTTTAAACTATTCAAAAGATGATATTAATTAAGCTCACAGTCACTGACTCACTGTTGAGCGCTGAAATTGAACAGTCGCTAACTTATAGGCCCTGTTGAATAAACTATAAACTGTTATAGTTATACACTCGCATTTATCTAGTCACATTTGTTTACCTCTTTTCTGAACAAACATGTCGGTATCGATGACAAGGTAGCCAGATGTAGAATAGAATCAAGCACAATGCTTCTCGGAACGAAATCTACCTCCAACAAGTGACCACTGTGACAGACACAGAGATAGATAGAGAGAAAACAAAAACTTGCAGCCGACCTTTGGTCCCGCCTTAAAACACCCGCGAAAGTTGACCCGGGGATCTGCCAGATTTTTCCACATTATGCTGCCTTCTCGAGATGAGAAAGCTTTCTCTTCTTAATTAGCGCGAGATGTGCCAAAGCTAATCAAGTAATAAGGCAACTATCTACCCTGTTGACACACAAGCAGATAACCCGAGTACTAAAGTTAATTTTATCAGAACTATTTTTTGGTCAACACTATGCTATCAGTGCCAAACGTGGACACTTGCATTCTCCAATGAACGTTAAAATTGTGATAACAGAGATGAAATATCTTAAAAGAGCTGCAGTTTCAAGGAAAGACAGAATACGCAATCATGAAATCAGACGAATGCTAGGAATAAAGCCAGTCTTACAGGTCATTAAAGAACCACAAATGAAGTAGTTTGGACACCTAACAAGAATCCCCTGGTACTATCTGCCACAGCGAGCCACACTAAAACGTTACAACGGTTATAGAGCGAGTCGGAGACCTCGGAAAATATGGAGTGATGGCATTAAGAACAGCTTTACAGAAATGAACATTAGTCTTAATAGTGATCTTGACAGAGCTCATCAACAAACGTTACATCTCTCCCCCCCCCCCCCCCCCCCCCCGACACTTCGATGAGGTTCAAGGTAGAAGAGAAGAAGAAGAAGATGCTGTCTTCTGAATTTACAGTTTCTAATTTGTTTTTCTGCGTTTGTCCTTAAGAATGCGCTTATGACGCTGCGTTGGGGTTTATTGCTAAGCCCAAATATCTGACTTAACAAATCCTTAACCTCCTTTTACAACATGACTATAAAGGAGCAATCGGTCAATTCAATATGAGGTCCCGTAACGGACGCGAAGAGCAGAATTTACGGTTTGATGTCGACAGTGTTAAAATCAGTACCAGCGAAGCATAGACAGTCAGTGTTACCCCCTCCCTTCCCCCTCAACCCCATACCCCACACACACACAACATACATACAGAACACTCATTAAGTGCCAAGTGGTCTATGGAAATATATTGCTCACACCAGCCTGCGAGGCGACCAGATGACAAACTACTTGTGATCCGAGTTCGCGCTCGTGAGTAGGCAGAGAAGCCACACATTTCCCAGATTCTATCGAGGAATCAAGGTCGAAGGGGTGCGATATCCATAGTACCGAGCCAAAGGTTTTACAACTCATAGTTTCTGGATCAATTTAAAAAAAAAACAACATCGAATACTTAAATATAAGCAAGGAACGTTCCTTTACTTTTATGACTGGTTGGTTTTATTGTTTTGTAAGTAACCCAGAGTGAACTGTTTGGGGAACCCTTATTGTAACTACAGTTGTATGAGAAATAAACTAGCGAGCGTTGGTGGGAATTTTGATAAGTGAGGAGAGAGTCAGAGATGAAATAATGCACTAGACATTCATCATCATCAGGTGCCTTGCCGACTGACTTGGGCGATCATGCTTCTCTACAATCTGCGAACTCCTGCAGCATGTATCAGTTTATGTGCCGACACACCTCCATGACATGCAACAAGATTGTCAAGGATCTTCTCTCGTTGTCTTCCTCTGTCCCTCCTTCCACAGATCTTTCCAGTGGTCACAACATGTTCCATTTTTCATCTTCTCACAACGTGGCCGAAAAATGATGACTGTCTTCTTCTGGTGTTTGTGATAAGTTGTATTCGGGCTCCCACCTCTTTGAAAACATCTTGGTTGCTCTTTTTACCTTTTAAGCATTCTTCTGTAAAACCACATCTCTGAGGCCTCGAAAAATTGTTTGGCATGCCTATCGATAGTCCAGGACTCACAGCCATATGTTAAAACTGTATTTATGTAGCAAGCACGCATTCTTTTTCAACCTTCAATGACAGAGACATATTGCATAAGATGTCCTTTATTTTATAAAATGCAGTTTTTACTCTCTAGTTCTGTTTCTTATTTTGGTGAGGTGATGCATCTTCCATCTGATGTTATCCATGTGCTCAGATACTTAAATTTCTGTACGTCCCTAAATAACACCAGTGATTTTTATTACACATTTAGGAATAAATCTTTGCTTTGATACCACCATTACTTCTGTCTTTCCATTATTCAAACTGAGGCAAATTCTTCCACTTTCTAACACCACGATGTCTTATCATCTGAGGTTGTTCTTTCTGACTTGTTGCTATCAAGACTGTGTCATCAGCATAACGTAAATTGTTTATATTATGCTCACGAGCCACAATTCCGGGCATATCTAGTAAAGATCTCATTATATATTTATTGAATATATTAATTACATAAATGAACATAAGTCTTAATAGTGCGCTTGACAGAGCTCCTTGACAAATGTTACATCTCTTTCCGACACTTTGTTGAGGTACAACGTGAAAAGAAGAAGAAGAAGAAGAAGAAGAAGTATAATGAAAATAAATCAGGTGACAGTACACATCCTTGTCGTACACCCCTCTTTATGCTCTGAAATGTACCTAAACAGTTAATAATTCTTATATCTGCTGTTTGCTGCCAATAAAAATTCCTAATTTTTCGTAGATATTTTTCCATCAATGTTTCATTGTTCTAACAGTTTGATTATTTCTTCATGTTTCACACAGTCAAATGTTTTTGTATAGTCTATGAAGCATGAGTACAAATACTTCTATAGCTCTTTCGGACAATGTCCTTAGGATGTATATAGACTTGTTTGTACCTTTTCCTTCTACAAATTCACACTGTTCACAGATGATTTCTGGTTTAATTTTGTTTCTTATGCTTCTAATAATTATTCTCATGTAACTCATAAGACTTTTTGTGCGATGGTGCACTAGACATAATAAACATCAAATTTTCTAGTGATCACATCGAGATTCCAATTTGCCTTTTCCACAAGGTGGCACATTTATTCCTTCAGTAAGCTAAGGCAGAAAATCAGGTTGGGTTCCATCCATGTTACTGTTAGGTCACCATGCATGGTCTGTGTTGTAATCAAAGCACACGAGGTGAGAGAAGTGATCAATTGAAGGAAACACCGGACCTCTCAGCTGAGGATTTACTAGACAAGGCTATTTGTAACCGTGGTTAGTGGTGTAAACGAGTTCGTGCACTGTGCTGAGATTCTTTAAATTCGGCTTGAATTAGAAGTAGAACGTAGCACTTATGTGTTACACGCGTGTGCCTGAGCACTTATGGGTTACACTCGTGTGCCGGAGCACTTATGGGTTACACCCGTGTGCCGGTGCACTTATGGGTTACACCCGTGTGCCGGAGCACTTATGGGTTACACCTATGTGCCGGAGCACTTATGGGTTACACCCGTGTGCCGGAGCACTTATGGGTTACACCTATGTGTCGGAGCACTTATGGGTTACACCCGTGTGCCATGATGTTGATCCGTCGAATAAACATAAACCGTGGTTAGTATTAACGGCTTGGACAGTCAGCTGCAGTACTTGATCAGTTCCCTGAGTCCTAGATCAGGGAGGTTCCACGACCAGCAGTATCACCAGTGGTGATATCAACACTACATTTAAAGTGCACCCATCACCCCACACCCATACCCGAAATCCTCTAGTAATTGGGAAATGGGATTTGCTCAAATGACACTCCCATTGACTTTTACTACATCATCTCTGCTTGTAAGTACAACGTCTGCACTCATTCCTTTCTTCCAAGTTCTCCTCTGTTTGTTCACACTCCAAGATTCATTGCTACACAGCAGACTGCTGAACATCAAGATGATTGTGCCTCCTCCTGTCAAGCTCAGTCCTACAGAATACAGGTAGTCGTGGCCGCTAAAAGGGCATTATTCCAGCTCATTCCTACATAATACGGGTAGTCGTGGCTGCTAAAAAGGCATTATTCCAGCTCATTCCTACATAATACGGGTAGTCGTGGCTGCTAAAAAGGCATTATTCCAGCTCAGTCCTACAGAATACGGGTAGTCGTAGCTGCTAAAAGGGCATTATTCTAGTTCAGTCCTACAGAATATGGGTAGACGTGGCTGCTAAAAGGGCATTATTCCAGCTCAGTCCTACAGAATACGGGTAGTCGTGGCTGCTAAAAGGGCATTATTCCAGCTCAGTCCTACAGAATACGGGTAGTCGCAGCTGCTAAAAAGGCATTATTCCAGCGCAGTCCTACAAAATACGGGTAGTCGTGGCTGCTAAAAAGACATTATTCTTCAATGGATATAAAAAACAAGAAGCGGCCTGGAAAAGATGAGGTTTTGTTAGAGGATATATTCAAATTGTGGGCGCTAATGTAATAGACAGTGGTGTCAGTAACGGCACCTTTGTTTTTTGTTTTTGTTTCTGAAAAAAATGCCCTGGCTGTTTGTTTTCATCATTATCATCATGGCCTGTGATACCATCTGGTCTATCTGATCCACCAGACACTCGGATTAAGTCTCTGTTCTTGTATCGTTATGCCATGTGATCAAACCCTACAAGGTTTTTTTGTCCTCCACATTTCCTTTCTCCTGCAAGTTTACTAGTCGGTGTATTCTGTTTCTTAGAGGGCTGCCTCGTGTTTATCTCAGTCGGTGTATTCTGTTTCTTAGAGGGCTGCCTCGTGTTTATGTCAGTCGGTTTATTCTGTTTCTTAGAGGGCAGCCTCGTGTTTATCTCAGTCGGTGTATTCTGTTTCTTAGAGGGCAGCCTCGTGTTTATCTCAGTCGGTGTATTCTGTTTCTTAGAGTGCTGCCTCGTGTTTATCTCAGTCGGTGTATTCTGTTTCTTAGAGGGCTGCCTCGTGTTTATGTCAGTCGGTGTATTCTGTTTCTTAGAGGGCTGCCTCGTGTTTATGTCAGTCGGTGTATTCTGTTTCTTAGAGGGCTGCCTCGTGTTTATGTCAGTCGGTGTATTCTGTTTCTTAGAGGGCTGCCTCGTGTTTATCTCAGTCGGTGTATTCTGTTTCTTAGAGGGCTGCCTCGTGTTTATGTTAGTCGGTGTATTCTGTTTCTTAGAGGGCTGCCTCGTGTTTATGTCAGTCGGTGTATTCTGTTTCTTAGAGGGCTGCCTCGTGTTTATGTCAGTCGGTGTATTCTGTTTCTTAGAGGGCTGCCTCGTGTTTATCTCAGTCGGTGTATTCTGTTTCTTAGAGGGCTGTCTCGTGTTTATGTCAGTCGGTGTATTCTGTTTCTTAGAGGGCTGCCTCGTGTTTATCTCAGTCGGTGTATTCTGTTTCTTAGAGGGCTGCCTCGTGTTTATCTCAGTCGGTGTATTCTGTTTCTTAGAGGGCTGCCTCGTGTTTATCTCAGTCGGTGTATTCTGTTTCTTAGAGGGCTGCCTTGTGTTTATCTCAGTCGGTGTATTCTGTTTCTTAGAGGGCTGCCTCGTGTTTATGTCAGTCGGTGTATTCTGTTTCAAAATTGAGAAGGTGCATATCCTCATACCCACAAATGGGCGAACGTTTTTACCTGATCTTGGCTCTGAGCTCGACCCATGGAAACAAGCAAGTGCTAGGAAATACCATGAGAAGAAAAGGCAACCAGTGGTATATTGAGGGAATGATATGCGATCCAGTGCACTGGATCAAGTAGACATTACAATTAGCACACATCAAATTTCCGCAAAAAAAAGCAGACACAAAATTGGGAAGACAAAATGAAAAGCACAACATTGAAGAACGCTGACATAAGATTATTTATTATAAGTTTAACAAAAGAAAGTTTGTTCTCAGCCATTCATAAAACTGCATGCTGTTGTGATATTTGCTTGTTGTGTTTATCTCCTAAAGGAAGACAGGATGTCATCCAATTCACGCCATAACCACTGTAGAATTATTGTTAAGCCCGCTACTTGTGATATGCCTGGTAGGCCACTGCGTTGCTATTCTGGTTACTTCATTCGGCCTTTAGAGAATTTTAGCTGCACCACTCAACCAAGAATAAGGTCTACAGAGAAGGGCTTGACGTGAGTTGGTTGAGGGTGTAGGCTCCACTGAAGAAGACAAAATCCAGAAACCCCGAGAAGAAGAAGAAAAAGAAGAAGAAGAAGAAGAAGAAGAAGAAGAAGAAGAAGAAGAAGAAGAAGAAGAAGAAGAAGAAGAAGAAGAAGAAAAGAAGAAGAAAAAAAAAAGAAGAAGAAGAACACGATAATAATCAATGTGATGTTTGCACAGAAAGCTGATCGCCGGCGTGTTCAAAGCTATAGATTTCCGATCCGCATCGAAGCAGATGTTTTTCAAAACTGAACTTGTCTCCCAGGTCAACCCAACCTAAAAACGGTACTAGGTATTTTCCTGGGAAGTAAAGGGACCGGCGTGCTGTTAACCACACATCAGCCAGAGTGCCGATTAATCTAAAGAAATGTGCCTAAGGTATCAATGACGCGAGAACGATCTGTTACTTACATTGACTTTTGCAGAATGGGAGCAGATAAAACTGGGGAAAAAGTCCCCCGTGTGGGTTCCGGGGTTCCATTGTGGGGAAAACAAGAATAGACCCACTGCCTCTCCAAAAGCATGTCGTAATTGGGGAGCTTCCTTTGAAGTCGGAGTGCATCTGCCGGAGAGGCAAGGAACCAACAGTCTGTATTCAAGAGAATGAGATCTGTAAAACTGATGCACACGCAACACTCAGGTTCTGGAGCAGGACTGCAGTTCAGTAGTGGACAAGCAGCCAGAACTTTCCGCCAGAGTGTACAGCTGATGAACGCGAAGAAGAAGAAGAAAACTGGGAAAAACAGATGAAATAATGGAATGTCAAATATGCTGTGTAGTCGTCGTTTGCCAGAAAGGCGTGCAGATCTGGCAGTGGGCTGGCAATATCCTATCACTGTGTATTGAGATGACTGCGGCCATGCAACGAGCTGGCAGCTAGAACACTGCATGTAGTCTGCGAGACAGAAACATTTGCTTTACACAATCTGAATACTAAATATTCTCTCTGAAAATACCGTCTACCGATCCCAAGGTAGCGGGTTCAGGTCCTGGCGGAACCGGACTTTTTTTTTTTTTTTTTATTTAAAAAACGACTTTGGCTCCCAGGTCTAGCCAGCATTAAATGGCTACCAGGCAAAGTCATAGGGTCATCGCCTCTCCAAAATCTGTGATCCGCAACTGCGTGTATTAGTTCGTGTGTTGACACCCCTCCATGCCATGACAAAATACTGTCAAAAATCTCACGCTGTTTTCCTCTGCCTCTCTTTCCACAGATTTTTTTCCAGTGGTCACAACACGATCCATTTCCATCTTCTCATAACATGAAAACAAAAAATGATGACTGTTTCTTTCTGATGTTTGTGATATATTGTTTTCAAGCAATCGCCTTCTTCAAAACATCTGGGTTGCTCTTAGCTGTCCAAGGCCTTTTAAAACTGGTTCTATATATAGCATGCACGAAATCTGTCCCCAACCTCCAATGTCATGGATTTATTACACAAAATGTTCTTTATTTTGTAAAATGCAGTTTTAGCCTGTTATCCATGTTTTTAGATACTAAAATGTCTGTGCTTGTCTTTAAATAACGCCTTTGACTTTTATTATACATTTAAGCACTATTTTTTTTTTCTTTGAAATCACCATTACTTCTGTCTTTCCATTATTCAGACTGAATAGCTATCAATACGGTGTCATCAGCATAACGCAGGTTGTTTATGTTATGACCACCAACCACAATATCTGGCATATCCATAACAAATCTCATTATATATCCGCTGTATAAAGCAAACAAATCAGGCGATAGAGCGTATACTTATCTTACTGCCCTCTTTATGCTCTGAAATGTTCCCAAGGGGTTATTAATTCTTATAGCTACTGTTTTGGGATGTACTAGAGACACATCCTGTGGAGCAATGAGGTATCTACTTGACTTTCCAACAATGAACCAAAGGATCAGGATGTGGAGGGCTCGGGCATATCTCAAAATATGCGCTGATAAGAAACACCCACTGCATCAAGCGCTTTTTAGTGAAAAGGGCGACAGACTGAAGAGGGGGAAATCGTGGCTAGGTCGGGCAGAAGATGTCATTAGGCAAATATGCAGCCTAACCGACATCATACCTGGTGCAGAATGGATACCTGTGCCTCAGGCGTTTATTTGTACATTTTCCTGTATTGTCACACTCAACAGGCGATGTAGAGAAGAGAATCCTGTTGCTGTTAATGCAGAGGTCAACGCTCTCATCGGTGAAAATTCAGACGAAGCAGATGCAATAATCTATACAGACGGATCCGTTATACGCCAAAGAAGAAGCGCATGGGCATTTACAGCACGCTCAGCGGGCAGAACAGTCAAAGAAGCCAACGGCGCCTTCTCCATGACAACCAGCAGCATGACGATGGAGGTGATGGCAGTGACACAAGCGCTTGCCTGGCTTGAAACACAAAAATACACCCGCGTGTGTATACTCAGTGATTCAATGAGTATGATCCGGAGGGTTCAGGCAGGTTCAGTGCGAAGACAATGGCTTGAATCATTACAGAAGTCCACTGTTCGCGGAGTCACCTTTATTTTTGTTCCGGGACACGCAGGCGTCGATGGAAATGAAAGAGCTGACAGGTTGGCTGGATCCGCTATCACTACCGACGGTCAGCCTATGGATCATGCTGATATTATCAATGCCCTCAGAGAAATGGGAAGAATAGAGGACTTTGGTGGCAGTGAATCCACATCACTCGCCAGAATGGCAGACTTGGGAATTAAGATCGGCACAGCAAAAAACGAGACGCACACCAGCTACGCCAGAAGACTTGTTAATCAACATAGAACTGGTACTATTAGCCATCGGACGTTGGGGTTCATACTGAGGGGAGGATCTGAGCACCTATGGACATGTCCGGAGTGCAATGAGGATAACCCAACTAACTAACTAACCAAATAGCTACTGTTTGCTGCCAATACATATTCTTTATAATTCGTAAATCATTTTCACCAATGTTTACCTTTTCCAGTAGTTTGTTTATTTCTTCATGTTTTACAGCTCATACGCTGACCAATCTTTCAGATGAGATTCAGTAAAGATGAACTTAATGAAAGTTTAACTGGCAATTTGTTAGAAATTCAACAAGAAACAAACACGAGGGTAAATACCAGGATGGACCTGACCACACAGTAAAACTGGAACTCGCACACAGACCTGATCCGTGACCTTGATCGTATCAGATGGCAGACCATGAATGCCTACATCTTTTGAACTGGCACGTGATAAGTTACTCCCAGTGTTTTGTCGGTTTGTCTGCACATTATCTCTCCAAGGCTATCTTTGCCCCAAGAGCTGCTTCTTTTCAACTCTGTCTGTAAACAGTTTCTCAAATATCTACAATGATCTCTCTATGTCATAGCCAGGAAAAAAGGACACATATATCAGAAGTTCAGCTGTAACCACATTAACAGACAATTATATTAGCAGACAACGGTTGTAGTCGAAATTCTGTGAGCCCACCACACATATGAGCTATCACATACAAGAAAAAGAATGTGGATGTAACACAAACCAACACAGACAAGCTCAGAAACCAATCATTAACTGTTTCTTACCGTGGTTATCCACTGCCACTGGGTATTCTGATTGGTTGGTTTGCTGCTTCACTTCCTAAAACTGGGCTGTCAAATAGATCCAGACATTTGGCCTTACTTTATACGGTGTGTGAAGTTTGGTTTGGTTCGGATTTATATTCTCCGTCGGCATCCCAACTGCTTCAGTCTCTTCTCCAAGTTAACATATGGAGAATCCCATCACTGTGCACCAGCTCCGTGTCCTCCAAATGTGCTTATACAAGAATTACACATGACATAAACAGCTCCATGGGATAGGAGCCTGTCCTACTACTAGACGTGTCCACTGTGAGGCGGATGGTGGAAGGACATCTAGATATAGAGGTTAGCCGCGAATATACTGAATAAGCGGCAGTGGACCAAAACAGGCGATGGTCGTTGACATAAGGCGAGCTGGCTGGTGGGATAGCAAGATCTATAAAATACCTTAAAACAGGCTATGGTCATTGAGAGGAGCGATGTAAAAGGTGGGATAGCAAGATCTATAAAATACCTTAAAACAGGTGGTGACCATTGAAAGGAGGTGAGCTAGAAGGTGGGATAGCTAGATCTATAAAATACCTCAAAACTCCGCGCCATAGCCATCGGCGAGTAAGAGGTGTTATATAACCTTTCCCCTCCCCTTTCCTGCAGCATTGCCTGGAATGTCTCTGTAGACAAAGGCTAATAGAGTAAACCATAAACAAACCGACGGAAGACAAGGGAAAACCACCACTGTATTTTCCCTAGTAAATCATGTGTTTAAAACAATCGAATTCAGACAAGTCTGTCTGTCTGTCTGTCTGTCTGTCTGTCTGTCTGTCTGTCTGTCTGTCTGTCTGTCTGTCTGTCTGTCTGTCTGTCTGTCTGTCTGTCTGTCTGTCTGTCTGTCTGTCTGTCTGTCTGTCTGTCTGTGTATGTGTGTGTGTGTGGGTATTAAACTTTTATACGGGAAATCTTCGCTGGCCAGTGATCTACCCGGTCTGTTCGTTTTGATGTTCAACAGTCGAGGTATTCCTCACGTGTACCCGGTGCATCTGACTACTTTCAGTTGTTACCGTTAGCAGAACAGACTAGACATGTTGTATACACAACCCCAGCCACCAAACAGTTAATAATGTGAGACGAACTAGGCTAGCTAGAGTCAGCGGCGGTCACCACAACCTCTGAGCTGCTTCTGTCCGCCTCTAAAGTGCCAGGTATTCGGGATCATACCATCAAAGACACGCCAACCGGCTTCTCCAACAGAATATGTCGACAACTCTCCACTATAGCATAGAAGAGTATTCAAACAAGGAGGAGAAAGAAAAGAAGGGTTAGGAGGAGAGAAAGGAGAGATAAGAAAGAAGGGGAGGAGAAGAAAAAGAATTAAAAGAAAAAGAAGAGGGGGGGGGGGGCAGAAAAAGGATACAAAGAAGAATTATTAAGAGGAAGAAGAGAAAAAGAAGGGGAGAAGAAAATGAAGAAGAAGAAATGGAAGAAGAAAAGAAGAAGAAAAAGAAGAAGAAGAAGAAGAAGAAAAAGAAGAAGAAGAAGAAGAAGAAGAAGAAGAAGAAGAAGAAGAAGAGGAGGAAGAAGAAAAAGAAGAAATCGTAGGCATGTATGACAAACATAAAGAGAAAAACTATGGTACTGTAACATGGCACCTCTCACCTGAAGGGAGGCGGGTGTTTCAAGGCAGTGAACTGCTCCAGTTTGCTGAACTTTTGTTTGGCCCGTTGTTCCATCTTATGAACCAGGCCGGCCTGGTAGAGCCGTGCCCCCAAGGCGACCGGAGAGCCGTGTCCGGCAAGTTTAGAACTGATTCCGGCTTTCATTACCGGCGTAGACATGGCTGCCTTTAACTTTCGGTGCCCACCTTTGCTCGGCTTCGTCAACTTGCCGGCCGAGTCTGTGTCTTTGGTGTCCTGCTCTTCGCAAGTCAGGGGCGTCGACTTTGTTTTAGTCAAATGTCGCCTGGAACTCGTTAAGGAGAACATACTTCTGAACCCATCTTTGTGGTCTTCAGGCTGACAGAAAGGAACACTCGATTATCAATTTCTTCGTAGTTATGTTCATAACATTTACAAGCGCAGACAACAAGAAGGAAATGTCTGATCAATTGACTTTACTATTTTCACAATGACATGATCAGTGGTTTCCTAACTCCCCCTCACCCACCGCCCACTTAGACCGCATCAGCCCCCCCCCCACCACCCCTTAGACCGCACCAGCGCCCCCCTCCCCCAAAGGGATGGTAACGCCCATATTGGGAAACACTGTCATTAGCCTGCCGGACTGAACGTCTTGGGTTCAAATTTGCCCTATGACCTTGGCTGACGTTGATCCAGCTTTAAATGGGCACAACGTAAAGTGTTGGAAAGTAGAGGAGGTCAGCGTTATGTTGACCACATCATCCATCGAGTGTCGACTGGTCTACAAAAAAAATGCTTCAATCATAATACATCCCTGATAATAAAAGAGTCTTGTACTTGACTACTGTGTACCCGGCAACTCGGTAACCGCCAACTCGGTACCCGCCAACTCGGTATCCGGCAACTCGGTACCCGGCAACTCGATATCCGGCAACTCGATATCTGGCAACTCGGTATCCAGCAACTCGGTAACTGCCAACTCGGTACCCGCCAACTCGGTATCCGGCAACTCGGTACCCGGCAACTCGATATCCGGCAACTCGGTGTCCGGCAACTCGGTAACTGCCAACTCGGTACCCGCCAACTCGGTATCCGGCAACTCGGTACCCGGCAACTCGGTACCCGCCAGCTCGGTAGCCGCCATCTCGGTACCCGGCAACTCGATATCCGGCAACTTGGTATCCGGCAACGGCACCCACCAACTCGGTACCCGCCAACTCGATATCCGGCAACTCGGTATCTGGCAACTCGGCACCCGGCAACTCGGTATCCGCCAACTTGGTATCAGGCAACTCGACATCCGGCAACTCGGTATCTGGCAACTCGGTACCCGGCAACTCAGTATCCGCCAACTTGGTACCCGCTAACTCGGTATCAGGCAACTCGGTATCCGGCAACTCGCTACCCGGCAACTCGGTACCCGGCAACTCGGTACCCGGCAACTCGGCACCCGGCAACTCGGTACCCGCAACTCGGCATCCGACAATTCGGTACCCGGCGACTCGGTACCCGGCAACTCGGTACCCGGCAACTCGATACCCGGCAACTCGGTACCCGCCAGCTCGGTACCCGCCATCTCGGTACCCGGCAACTCGATATCCGGCAACTCGGTATCCGGCAACGGCACCCACCAACTCGGTACCCGCCAACTCGGTACCCGCCAACTCGGTATCCGGCAACTCGGTATCCGGCAACTCGGTACCCGCCATTCGGTACCCGCCAACTCGGTTCCCGGCAACTCGATATCCGGCAACTCGGTATCTGGCAAATCAGCACCCGGCAACTCGGTATCCGCCAACTTGGTACCCGCCAACTCGGTATCAGGCAACTCGATATCCGGCAACTCGGTATCTGGCAACTCGGTACCCGGCAACTCGGTATCCGCCAACTTGGTACCCGCCAACTTGGTATCAGGCAACTCGGTATCCGGCAATTCGGTACCCGGCAACTCGGTACCCGGAAACTCGGCACCCGGCAACTCGGTATCCGGCAACTCGGTACCTGGCAACTCGATACCCGGCAACTCGGTACCCGGCAACTCGGTATCCGACAACTCGGTACCCGGCAACTCGGTACCTGGCAACTCGGTACCCTAACGTGATGATTTTTAGCAAGTGTTGTGGAATTCTGGTCAGCTTAGCATACAAATGAATGTCAGGAAATGCTTTGATGGGTAAAGACCAACAACTGCCTGCTGTTGTCTGCCTAGAACTAACTAACGGTTATAAAAAGACGACAACAAAGGATTAATAACACCGCAACAATTACATAAATGAAAATATTCAGGAAATGCTACCAATAACAACAATAACGGTAAAACAACAACAAACCGATCTTACTTCTCTGGAGATGACGGCGATGAAACAGCCATTGGATTTGTCAGATGGGTAGAACCGGATATAGCGGTCATCAATTCCGTTTCGGCCGGAGTCTATTTCCTCGAAAGTGAACGGCAACACTGGAGGCGTGACCTAGACGATATAGACAGACACACAGACAGACAGACAGACAGGTGGTATTTAGACAGGTGCCCAGGGCAGCAACACGTTGCTGGCGGCAAAAGATGACTAGTAATAACTGAGTATATTTGAGATTTCTGTGACTTTTTGTTGTTGTTGCTTGTTTGCTTTGTGTACCCCACCAGGACATCACACAAGCGATAAACACCCGGTGACACAAAGTGCCACCCTGTGGATGAGGATCACCAGAGGAGAGGTCCCAGAAACTCCTTTTAGCCGTTATGGCCACAATTGTGGCCTAGCTATATTTAGGGCCCCGCGTTCAGCCATTAGGCCATATTTATGCCCTGGCTATATTGCGGCCACCGGCAAGAGCCAGGGTGGGGCTTCAAATAACGAAAAATTTTATCCTAAAAAGGACGGTCAATTGAATTAATAGGTGATGACTTACGCCTGACTGACTGAATGACTTTCTATATCTACGTTTAACATGCATATTTATTTTATCCACTGTGTATTCAGTGAAGTTAAATACTTTCAGAACCATTTGCCATTGAAGTAAATAATTCCACGACTTATAGCTGTTGAAGTAGTAGTAAATTTTACCCCACTAAGGCATCACACAAGCGATAAACACCCGATGACACAAAGTGCCACCATGCGGATGAGAACCACCCGTGGAGAGGTCCCGTTCAGCCATTAGACCATATTTATGACCGGGCTATATTGTGGCAAGAGCCAGCGTGGGGCTTCAAAATAACAAAAAATTGCATCCCACAATTGGATGACTGAATACTAAAGGTGTAGTCTGTAGACGAAAAGTGATGATGAAGACGAGATGAAGGACAATGGGGTGTACAATAAATGACTGCACAGGAACGTCATACAATATAAATACAGGGACGTTATACAAATAAGTGCAGAGTTGCACTATCCGTCTGTCTGTCGATATGTATGTTTTTCTGTCCTTCATAATTATGTGGCCTGCAGTGCCTCGTTTACAGAGAAGACTATGCTGGAGTTAATGTCCCTTATCTGCAACTATTGGTATGGGCGGTGTTTAGGCAGTGAAGTATACCACTGAATCTATCCATTTGATGCACAGTCTTCCCCTAGTGATACACACACACACACACACACACACATATATATATATATATATATATATATATATATATATATATATATATTTATATATATATATATATATATATATATATATGGAAGGCTGAGCACAGCAGGTATCCGCGTGACCGGAGCTCGTAAACAGAGCAGAGAATACAAACACTGTTACCCATCATTCATGTCGCCAGAACCCACTAATGAGTTATCTTATTCAGTGAAAATAAAAAAAAAAATTAGCTGCAAAATTCAGCCAGTCAGATGCAAGTTCACAAGTAGAATAGACAACGACCTATGCTCCACTGGGAGCTGAAACATAAGGAAAACAGCTGATGTTTGGAGATTTGCTCTAGATAGAACTCACAAAAACAAATTGCTCTTGACAGCATAGCTTGGAAGTCATTTCTATGTAAGGCACAGGACAAAGGAAATACATAGAAGGAGACAAGCATTTACAGCAGAGAATAAAGATGGGGAACAATGGAACCTAAGGGGCGTGGAGTGAGCCGCCAGCGTAGGGAAAATATCGGCAGACTTTGGTTGGTTAAGGACATTTTAGGAAGATTAAGAGGGGGTGAGCATAAGCAGCGCAAAGTCTGCACAAAATACGAGATAACTAGATGGTCTCAGACTGACACAAGGACAGACAAGTCGCATACAAACACTTTTTATCTACCCGAAAAGGAATCCCTTTAGTGGCTCTCGTCACGTGGGCGAACTCTACGGCTTTCGTCACCAGCGACTCATTTTCCACTGGACAGCAGGATCTCGTGGCATAGACGATTGCTTGAACTCGTGGAACTGAAAGTTGAGGAAATGCTCTGCCATAGTCTTGCCTATTGTTTGGGAACCCGATAATAATAAAATGCAAAAAAAAAAATCCTGACCCACAAACGAATAATCCAAATGAGTCTATATGCGTAGTGTAAAATCATGGCCGGGGTAAACCCTTCAAGTATATTTACAACTATGATGGTAAAATGCTGATTTTATTTTTACTTCTCCCTGATTTCATAACACAAGCCCGATGGGCTTCAGTGGGAGGAAAGCTACTTTTCAACAAGAGCCCAATAAATACCTCACTGGGAGCAAAGTCCCTATATCACCTTAGATCTGAAAGCTACGCGTTCATTTGCGGACTCAAACCCCTGCATTAGAGTTCAGAATTAAATTTAGGAAAAAAAAAAAAAAACGGATCCAGTGTTAACTGGTACAACAGTCAACCAACAACAAATGGATCAACCAATAAACTGACTAAAAAATCAACACACCTACCAAACCACTCAATACCACTATCACCACCAACAACAAAAAGAATAACCAGAAACCAGCTAACAGACCACCAAAGAAACGAACATATAACCCAACTGCTAACCAGCCGTCCAACAAAACAAACACACATGCAGTCAACTACTAACAAGTCATTAAACAAAACGCCCAGCCACTCAACCAGTAACCGGCCAGTCAACAAAACTCCTCGCTAGTCTGCTTAATAAAACACCATGACCGTCAACTTATACCCGTCCACATAACAAAACAAACCTGCCAGTCCGCCCAAAACCAGCCATTAACAAAACAACTGGCCAGTCAACAAACCAACAAACACAAGTAAGCTTGTTGCAGAACGAGAAATGGGCAAGAATTGTTCTTACACGAGAGGGCGTGCCGGAGACATTGCTCGTGACGTGAGACCTGGCTGTTGATGTTTTTCGCGAATGATGTGCCTTTTGCTAACTCTCCTAGAATCCTTATGTCTGGATAAGGTAGAGAAGCAAAACAATATACAAAACAGTTATAAATGATGGCAGGTGTGGGGATGAGATTAAAAAATAGATGAGAGTTAAAATGGCTAAGATAACTTTCAGCACTTTGAAGCAAACTTTTGTAGTCGGACAAGTCATCTTCCTCCGTGTCTTTAATTGGAATTGGTCCTTCCACAACTGTACATCAAGCAGGCCTATCGTGTGCCATCACCGAAGGTCCTTATCATGCCATTCACATATTACTTATTTTGCCTCTCTCATAGCACCCGCGCTGTCCTTCCAAGACATACATAGTTCTGACATTACATTATTGTTTCCTAGGCGAAAGTAGGTCAGTCGGTGATTCAGACTTGTTTCCTAGGTGCACTTCGGTGATTGGGATTGTTTCCTAGGTGAAAGTAGGCCAGTCGGTGATTCAGACTGTTTCCTAGGTGAAAGTAGGCCAGTCGGTGATTCAGACTGTTTCCTAGGTGAAAGTAGGTCAGTCGGTGATTGGGATTGTTTCCTAGGTGAAAGTAGGCCAGTCGGTGATTCAGATTGTTTCCTAGGTGAAAGTAGGCCAGTCGGTGATTCAGACTCATTGCAACTTCTCCGTATCACGTTATACTTAAAGAAACTGCTTGCACCAACAGTGGGCTGTAATTCTGGCGATACTGTTAGTGTTGGCACGTCTGACAAATGCCTTGTGCATTTTCTTTAGGTGTGCGAGCTTCAAGCTGTCGCTGGGAAGGAAATATTTTTCACTAGTGTTCAAAAGGGGCAGTGAAGGGCATTTTGTGTGATCCCCACTGCGCTAGAACCAGTTATGTGGCAACCCTTCTGCAGTGAGGTTCAAACCTCGACCAACTATGAACTTCTAGCAACCAACCTGTCCCCTTTATTATGAATTCTTTTTCTTGTCATATCTAAAGACTTCGTTCTCGGTTGATTCGGCTTTCTACTGGCCGATTGCCCAATAAAAGTTGATAACGGCACTCGACATTAGGCTATTGTACCTACACAAATATCAAAGATGTCATATTATAAATCGGTCAACAGAACGCACCGTATCACCAGGAAACCTAGTGGAAGAAAGAAAGACGTGCCTGGAAAAGCACACACCACACACACACACACACACACACACACACACACACACACACCACTCACAAGATGCAACGATGTTGGCCAAGACGGCTTGGAAAGACGTTATATATTTCTTTCTGACACAGTAACGACGAATAGACGTCTAGAGATCTGAGAAATTCCGCAAGGAATACAAAAAACACCAGTAAATTTACTGGACATTCATATCGGGTTTTGTCTACAGAACGCGGCTATGCGGGTCATTCTGGGTTGCACCAGAGACACCCCAGTGGTGTGTATGCGATACATCCTTGGTTTGCCGACGGTTGCAGGTAGGCACAATGTGATGCAGGCGAAGTCATATCTCAGGGTAGCTGCAGACACAAACCACCCTCTGCGTGAAATTCTGGGTGCAGTTAAGGGTCAGCGGCTGATAAGAGGGAGGTCATGGATGGCTCAGGCAAAAGACACCATCAGACAGGTTTGCATCCTTGAGAACATTAGGCGAGGAGAGGAGTGGGTCAAAGTGCCACCTGAGCAGTCAGACTTGTGTAGAGTCATAATCACGCTGAGCCGGGAATGCAGAGACTGGCCAGCAGGTGCCACAGAGGTGGAAATTCAACAATTAATTCAAGATAATGCTCGCTCAGAAGATTTGATCATTTACACAGACGGTTCAGTGTCAAGAGGCAAAAGAAGAGCTTGGGGCTTTTTAGCAAAAGTTAATGGTCGACGTTTGGTGCAGCAGAGCCTAGCATATGATACCACAACATCCAGCTTAAGAATGGAGGTGGAGGCGGTCACTGCAGCTTTCCGCTGGCTAGAGAACACAACACACACACACACACATTGTAATTGTAACTGATTCAGAAAGCATGCTGAGGAAGATCAGAACAGGTATGCTTCGTGCAGAGTGGCATGCTTCACTGCGGAGGACACGAGAGAGGAGTATTGTCTGGATTTTTTCACCGAGTCACGCCGGTGTGTTGGGAAATGAACAGGCGGACAGACTGGCTGGCTCTGCACAACTTGGTGGAATACTACTACATGATAGGGCAGATGTGGTTAGTGCCTTGTGGGAGAGCGTGTACAATGCGGAGGAGCAGATGGATCACCACAGTTTGGTGAGATTGATGCAGTTGGGGGTGACGAGAGGTTCTGGCAGAAGCTCAAGGCTCAGAGGAAAGGCAAGACGGACATTTAATCAGAAAGCTACTGGCACCATAAGTATCAGAACTCTTCGCTGGCTGCTGAAGATGGAGACGGAGCGCTTATGGGAATGCCCCCGGGTGCAGTAATGTCGGTTCTTGAATCAAATCAAATCAAATCGGGTTTTGTCTTTGGCTATGTCCACGAAAGTAATACCATCACACTAAGACACCATTGCTTAGGTGAAGTCCCATTCTAGAAAAATATAGATTTAAAAAAAAAATCATCTGGTCTTCTAGGCCAGTCTAGCCTCAAGTCGGTACCAGGAGACTGTAAGGGAAGTAAACTGACCGTATCACCCATACGGTGCCTTTTGGTCTTTAAAATACGTGGACAGACCAACTATCTACAAGCTTCAAGTCAGTCGTAGCTGACCGACTGCCAGGCTTTTAGCCACCGGGCCACTAATATAGATTAGTTGCCAACATCCTGTCGCCTCAAGAACTACCCTCATTCTATGGCGCATACCTTCTCCTTCAGTAATAAGGAACTGGACAGGGTTGGTAATGGCCGACTTGCTGCAGTTGGTCGTAATGAGAATCACCTTCACGTATCTCAGCTTCGGCTCCTCCGGCTCCACGCTCAGAAAGTCATCCAACAGAAATTTGGTGTCTGTTTTTATAACGTCAAGGTTTTCATAACAATGCTCTGCTTTAAGAACTGCAACTGTACGCATATTCAAATAGCAGTGTAGACGCAATATAAGGAAACAGACGGAAATAAACAAAATCAGAATATTACAGAAGATAAGAGGAGTTTCATAAGACTGGGAATAAAACAAACAAGTTAACAGAGAAAGGGTTTAAAAGCAAGTCTATTATCGTTGTTTATGAGCAAGGATACTTTTGGTAGCACCGAGAAAATCGATATTCTTCATGGTCTTGCGGCCCTTACTGGGCGAATCTATTCCGAAACCCCATATACGACTTTGTGGAGACTTTTTGTGAAGTAGACTGACCAGGTGGGCAGTGGTCAGTCCTGAGCCAACATTGACGTGGATGACATCCTTGTCGGTGCCCAGGAGATACTGAACAGACTGTGCTGCCATACAGCTGGACTTGTCCTGTGAGAACACGAAGAATTATTCATAAACACCTGGGTCATATGATCAAATCATAGCTGGATTAGGGTTTTCATGGCTATGAATTACAAGTTCAGTATTATTTATTTGTAAAAGGCCATTGAATGCATGGATAGAAATACATAAGAGACGACTTTTCTCACATAGAAGACAATGGGGGGTCTCATTTATGAATAATTAAAAGTGTGTAGATTACAACCATGCCTGACAGCGATATGATTCTGTGTGAGGGTATCTTTCACAATTTAGAAATAGTACCACTGTAGCGATACTATCCTGTTCCTGGGTAGATCAAGTGTCACGAGACGATCTCAGTGATTCCAGAAGTTAGTACTTGTAATAAGTTCTTCTGGTTCTAAAGAGAGAGGATTATATTTACTCTGCCCTTTACCCTAATATTACTTTAAACCAAATTGATTTAAATGTTACCAGTCCTTCTCCCAGACAAAGCCACTGCGCTTTGTTTAAAATTACCTAACACTACGTAATACAGCCCGCTGGTTCAGACTAGGGATGTGAGGTTGGATTCTCACGCCAGTGTCAGAATGCTATCTCCTGACCAGACTGTAGAGACTGAGCGGGGCCCTTTTGAACAGGGAAATTGAGTAGACGCTAGACATGGTGGAGCCGGGAGGTCGGAGTTTAACACGTCAGTGTAATTCTGGAGAGAACAGGTGTTTGGCAATTAGGAAGGGTTTATCTTGGTCAAGTTCGTACTGTAGGCCGTTCACTGTGAGTGACAGGTCACTGGTTAGCCAAGTGATCTGATAGTTACCTCAGGGGCGGTGCTTAAGCCATCATCTTGAGGGTTGGGTAAAAACTAAGGAAAGGGAGGAGTTTAACTTGGACAATAGATTAATACTTATACTGCAGGCATCGTAGATTTACCTCATAGTGCCGCCAGCAGGCCACAGACTCAGACCTACCGTTGAAAAGTATTTTCTCCCTGGTTGAGTCGTGTTCGGCATTTGCTGGAAAGTTCCTAGCGCCCATGTGACGATCAGTCCATGAAAGAGACTACATTGTGTTAGACTCGGCCAGCTGGGAACGAGGTGGAGAACGAGGTGGAGAACGAGGTGGAGAACGAGGTGGAGAACGAGGTGGGGGGCGAGGAGGAGAAACAAGCAGGGAAGAAGCTGGAAGAGGAGGAAGAGCTTGACAGTGCTCACGGCTGTCAGAGGTTCTATGAAAGTTATGTTCATAAATTGTTCATACTTTATCACCTTCATCACACCACTCTAATCCCAGGTGCTGTTCTCGCGCTGAAACAACCCATTACTATCATAACTTTAGCTAGTCACTGTTTGTGTAAACACAACAAACTGGGTATGTCAATTAACTGATTGTTAGAAAATAAAGCTGTATGTCAAGTTTTATACTACATCGTTTGTTAAATTCCAAGTGTATTCAATCTTACCTGTTTTCTAAACTGATAGATAGAAGTACATTTGGTGGGGGCTCAAATAATATGATAATAATTCTTTAATTATTAATAATAACACCGGGAGAAGGTAGATGACGAAGGAATCACTTGCCCTGTCTAATAATTCATCTAGTATGATAGACATCTAAAATTCCTTGCTTTCTCTTGTGGGTACCAAGTTCAGCTAATGTTAATATACTTAACGAGCCAATATGGCTGTTTTCTTGGATATCCAGGACTTTGTCTGAGAGCAACATAGCTCAGATTTTAGTTCGGTTTATCTAGTGGAGAGAATGTGTTGAAAGGAAGATCCCTACTCAACAACATAAACATTTAAACCACCCGTCACGTCACATCAAGTAAAGTAAAGGGCATCTTTTTCACCCCTTCAGACATACTAGGCATGACCGATATTTTAGAGAACAATCGGCATTCAGAGGCTGGTGTGTTTAACCTCTACTTCCCAGGACTTTACCTGATACCCATTTAAGGCTAGGTCGACCTGAAAGCCAATGTGATTTCTAAAAAAGCCAGACTCCAGTTCATGGATATATGTGATAAAACACCAACAAAACGAAAGGTGTGAAGTACCAACCGACCTGTTCTACCAACTGTCCCAGTTTCACCCATCTAGTGTTCTTGAGAAAAGTAGCCAAGTTTGGCGGGAAGACCAGCAGGTCGGAGCAGTGCGAGTCGGCCATAAACACTTTGCCAGTTTGTCCAGTGACATCTTCTCCCATGACAAGTTTGGTGAAGCCATCAGCTTCCAGCTCTTCCAGGACAACTTCCATGCTTGAAAACAACAGTTACATCTGAGGCAAGTAATTATTAATAAAGACATACACAAAACACATTCGACACCAAGTTAATCCCTGCATGTCGGTCAGCTCAGACCTTCGACTTGAGGAACCTGATCTAGAGCAGACACCGGCAAACAGTCTGTCATCTAATCCGTAGGGATAATGCGCTGGGGGGGGGGGGGGGGGGTGGTAATGGGTGTGGGGGGTCGGTGGGGTAAGTAGTCCATGGCTAAATGGTCAAGGCGTTTGCCTTTCTCTCTGAGGGTTTGTGGTCAAGCCGTTTGCCTCGTTCTCTCTGAGGGTTTGTGGTCAAGCCGTTTGCCTTTCTCTCTGAGGGTTTGTGGTCAAGGCGTTTGCCTCGTTCTTTGAAAGCATAAGTTCGTTTCATGGCTAGCTTTGTTCGGCCACAAGTGAATCGTCAATGAAGATCTCTGGGCATCGTCCCTAGAGCTATATGTAGTTCGGGCTTTCTTCAATAAATAAAACGCTTTCTTCTAGGCTCTCGGCCGGCGGCTAGCTCTTCTGCGGAGAGAGAAAGAGAGAAAGCGAGAAATAGAAAGTGAAAACGAGAGAGAGAGAGAGAGAGAGAGAGAGAGAGAGAGAGAGAGAGAGAGAGAGAGAGAGAGAGAGAGAGAGAGAGAGAGAGAAAGCGAGAAAGAGAGAGAAAACGAGAGAGAGAGAGAGAGACCAGACCATACTAGATAAAACCATTGTCAATGAAGTCGATTCTCTCATCTTACAATCTTTAATGACTGTGAAACTTGTAGCTGGTGAGCACGAAAAAGAAGAAGAGGAAAAGATAATAATAATAAGAAGAAGAACAAGAAGAAAAATAATAAGAAGAAACAGAAGAGGGAGAAGAAACAGAAGGAGACAAAGAAGAACAATAAGAATAAGAACCAGAACAAGAAGAATCACTCAGCACTCAGAGGAGAGGCAAGACGGACGCACAATCAGACTTGTGCTATTAAAACTGTAACTTCGCACAATCTGTGGAAGAGAGGAGTCGCAGCGCTTACGGGAATAGCCCGAATGTTTTGATGTCAACCCTTTAAGTCAGCTCAACATTAACAAACCACACTGGAAGGAACAGTAGAAAAACAACTGCGTAAGTGGTAAACAGCGATATCAATGGTAAGATAAAATCAAGAGATAAACAAACATGTCTCGGAGAGTTTACAATAATTAGGAAAGACAGAACTTATCATAGATCTAGTGCAGTCAAAATTCATTCTGGAGATAGAACCGAATCAATTGATTGACAGAAGTTATACAAGAACCACACATCACTCACTTACATGCACTTACGTTGTTCTCAGCTGGTTAACCCACATGTATACAGCAATCTGGGACTTTGTCCGGTTCAAGTTCCTGACGGCAGCAGGCAGCAGGTCCTGTATGGATGCCGCGTTATGTTTGATTCTTATCTTGGCGAAAAATGATTGCAGTCGGGTCCTTCTGGTAAGCAGAGCCTCTTCAATCTCGTTGCAGATCTGCTGGAGTTCTTCCCCAACAAATGGCGTGCGCTTCTGAAACTTTCGACTTTGGACGTCGTACAGAATAACATGGACAAGACTGGCGTGATTGTCTAGCTGTGGAGGGGAGGTGTGTGGATTAAGTGAGGTGTGTGGATGAGATGATGTGTGTGGATAAATGAGGTATGTGGATAAGTGAGATGTGCGGATTAGATTAGGCATATGGATAATAAGGTGTGTGAACGGGATGAAATGTGTGGATGAGGAGAGGTGTGTGGATGAGATGAGGTGTGTGAACGGGATGAAATGTGTGGATGAGGAGAGGTGTGTGGATGAGATGAGGTGTGTGAATGAGATGAGGTGTGTGATGAGGTGTGTGGATTGAGGTGGTGATGAAATGTGTGTGGATGAGATGACGGGTGTGGTGAAATGTGTGGATGAGGAGAGGTGTGTGGATGAGATGAGGTGTGTGGATGAGATGAGGTGTGTGAATGAGATGAGGTGTGTGGATGAGATGAGGTGTGTGGATGAGATGAGGTGTGTGGATGAGATGAGGTGTGTGGATGAGATGAGGTGTGTAGATTAGGCCAGTTTTGATCGACACAAAAACCCTGGTTAATTACAACAAAAACAACAACAATAACAACAACAATAAAAAGCAAACAAAAACAAATGCAATCTTGATTTGAAACTGCCCACATTGAACATTAGTAAGTCAGTGCAATATATTTAGATCAAAACATGCCTAAGCTAGCCCAGGACTAAAATATAGGCCTACCTAACTTAAATAACAAAACCAGAAGGCGACAACTCACGTGCGGGAAGTCCTGGGGAAATTCCGTCTTCTGCAGCGCTTCTTGGAATAGCTTGTGAACTGAAAGATAAAATAATTCAATGGCAATAGAACAATGAGACACAAAACAAAACATGTACTTGTCTTTTGTGTATTTCCAGGGCTCAAACAGAAAGCAAAGAATATTACCACTGTCTAGTAGGCTAATGACTTTTCCTAGCTCTAACAGTTGTAAGGACGAAATTTCATCCCCTCTTTCCTTCGCCAACTTTTTGCAGGTGCTTTGCTTCCCTCGAATTCGCCAGGTCGTCAATAACTGCACAGAAAAGACACATGCAATGTCAGCGTTCTCTCACTGACTATTACAACCAGAAGAAGGTTTTAGCAGGAACACTTGACCTCCCGTACCAAAAGTAGGTTCGCCCCCCACAACCTATCCACATTTCCAGGCCGTGATACGGATCTTCTACTGGCACTTGTCCGTGTTTGTGACTTGAGAGGTGTTGGTTAATGGTAAAAAATTGGTACCGGCACACAGGGCCCTCTTGCACGGGGGCCTTTCGAATCTAGGACCCCCGAACTGATCTGCGAATGTCAAGGGACTTGTCATAAAAGGAGTT